TATTTTATTAATGAAAAAACTAATCTGAACCACGTCTCTATCATAATGTGTCTGTTGTGAACAAACACTGCACAAATTCAGAGAATATTACAAACAAGACTATTGCCATACACACATTCAATATTTTAATTAAAATGTAAAAAAAATGGCAAGAATTCAAGCTACTTTATAGGAAGAACAAGGTGACAGCCTGTTTTCATTCAACAAAACAACAGTTGAAGGTGTAAGAACTTTTATTATCCCCCCTTCCAAAATTGATGTTTACTCTTTTTACAATTTGTGAGCACAATCTGATCCTCTTTTGAATTATTATGACATAAACCCTCCTCAAAAAGAAAGAAGAAAAAAGTGGATTGACATATTTAAGAGAAATAAATTTTAATACCAAAAATCATTTCTATTTCTATTATGGTAAAAAACATGTATGATATAGCAAATTGACATGGCATTATAAAGTAATTGTTTTAAAGAAAAAAGTGGATTGACATATTTAAGAGAAATAAATTTTAATACCAAAAATCATTTCTATTTCTATTATGGTAAAAAACATGTATGATATAGCAAATTGACATGGCATTATAAAGTAATTGTTTTAACAGTAACTGTTGGTTTAAATAGTTTATGTCGTTAATTGCACAAGATATGCTTAGAAATTATTTTAAAAGTCTACCTCCAATTATAATAAGAAACATACTTACACCGTAAAGAATGAACATCTTAAGTTTATTGATTGACTTGTTTTAGTTTCAACAGGCAAAAAAACAACAACTCAATTTTAAACAACTTTTTTGCATTTTCTATTCACAAGTATAATACCAAAAGCTATATCAATATAAAGTTAAGGACAATAATTGTTGCTTTCTCACCTTCTTAATTCAACTAATATATTTATCCCCACAAACCGTTTGATATTTGCAATTAATGGATGATTCAGCTAGATTAAAATACTACTAACACAGAGTTGTAATGTATGTTACAACAACAGCAACACAAACATGAGTAATAATTTTTTAAAAAAATTATCCATCATTGTAGAAAACCCTCTAATTTTGAAAGTATCCTTTTACATTCTTCTCAACAATCCATTGTGTGTGATAAATGTGACTGTTTAATAAAACGAATCTCAGGTTAGGGAATTTTATTTGGTTTCATGCTTCAACATACAAATTCAAAATTTTAAATAAATTGTTTGATTGACCAAATCTTCTGTCCTTGGAGCAATGAATCCAACCACTGTCAAGCACAAATGTGATAGATAACCTTTTATTACGAAATAAGGGGACAAAAGAGTGTGTCATGAGATAATTACTAACAAAGAAAACAAACTTGTGAATGCTTAAATGAAGATAAGTTTGTACGTTTGATCACGTAATTATTTAGCTTTTCAGTTACAACTTGTTATTTAATATGCTAAGGTTATTTAAAATATGATGAAATGTAGTGTAAACTGGGAAAGTTGAGATACAGCACACAAGAAATGGTTACAAGTACAAGATAAAATATTGCTAAATACATGTATCACTTCTAAAAAGTTTCATGATATCTTCAATCAATGAAATATTTTTGTAATTTTCAATGTTATCTTTTCCAACTGATAAATAAGTAGGAATAAATTGTGATATTTAATGTTTTATATTATTTGCTTTAGAAAAATTTAATAACCTAAAGGATTAAATATGGTTTAAAAAAACATTTTACTGCTATCTTACTTCATATACATCTCTTCAGATTAAAGTATACTTTTCTATGATTTAAAACCAGATATTTAGGACATTTATATTGTGTACAGTCAGCATTTGTTGACAAAATATTCTCGACACATTTAAAAAAAAAAAAAAACTTTGTCCCTCAAATTTCTCTCTAGTTTAGTCAACTTTAATTTGATAACTGTTTCCTAGTTTCCTATCTTGTAAAATTGCATATATATTTTTCTTTCTTCATTGCAGAATTAATATTTAGGTGAATCTTCTGTTATTTAAAAATTAATGATTTATAAATTATCTTAATATGTTCTATAATAAAAGTACTTGGATGTTTCTGAAATCTCCATATAACATGATTTTTTAGAAAGAAATTTAAGCTCTTTTAGACCTAAGTAAAGTACCAAATAATAAAAAAAACTTCTAGTAACAATATTTTTAAATGGCAAATTAGGTTGCTAGACACTACATTTAAAATTGTCACTTTTGTATAATTTATTATAAGTAATAAGTGGGGAGTTTGAAATAGTGAATTAAATTAAGAAAAATGGGAAAGGACATTTATGGTAAAAAAATTAATAAACTTTATTTTGAAGCTATAAAAAAAAGCTCACATTGAGCTGTTCATGCCCTGTTGTAAAAATGACTAGAAAGTTATCTTATAAAAAAAAACTGGGTAAAACCTTAACAAAAATCCCACTGCATGACCAACATAGTCAATGACAGACAGCTGTAAAATCAAATCAAAACAAATGTATATTTCATGACCAAGAAAAATTCAGGAATGGCTAGACTAGATTATCATGTGATATACCATATCAATGTAACGTAAATCCATATGTAAGATTTTTACCCCAAGCAAATGTTCACATATGTCAAGATTCGTTGACTGGTAGATACTACTGTTACATGTCTAAAATAATTGTAAAAAATTCTTATTGTTAAATGTGGTGGATTAATAAAGGAAAAAATAATTTATTAAAATCCTAAAATTTTTTTTTTCTCTCAGTTAAATCTAAAATTAAATTATTTCTTCTACTTATCTACTAAAGGCTTAAAACATTCATATATGATTTGGTAAATTTTCCTTGACTGTTATTTGCATCTTAAGTGATTATTTCCATTACTTAATGTGTTCAGTTATATTATTTAACTATTTTTACCAACACATGTTTAAAATGCTTAGAAATATCCTGTATTACAATGCATTTGTGTGCAATGTATTCAAGTATTGCTCTAATTTATGGAAATGAATAAACAAATATATGCATAAGTCTCGTATAACAATAAGATGAAACATTGCATAACAAACACAAATAGGTTATAGTGTACACTGTAAATAAGCACAGGTATATGCTAAGTGTTGAAATTTAAATGAGTTGATACAAATGAAATCCAGTTTTGAGAAAACACAAAATTTATTATCTGTTTATCAATCAGTCTATAAAATACCAATAAAAAAACTAGCATCGATTATGTTTGACTGTAAACTATAAGATTAAAGATGTGTACATATAATGAGTTAAAAGCCAAGATGTTCACAGTGAAATAAAGCTAATGATAAAAATATAAATGCTTGGCTAGCCAAAGATTTATTTCCACTGGAATGGATTTGATATTGATATTTCTCATGATTAAACTGATCTAGATTTAACCTTAAACTTCAGAATGTGCCCAAAAATGTCTTATCAGTTTGAAACAATGATTAAAAAAAAAAACCCATCAATTTAACAATTGTTTAAGAGAAAAAAAATGTAATGTTGATAATTTTTTGCTGAAAGACCTCCATTATTTATAAATGGGGATACTCTGAATGTGTGATGAATTAAATTCTTAAAATTTACTATTCACATCTAAGTAAAATGTTTAATTTTTACCTTCACTTGTACTACTTTGATTTCAGTCTAAGACAAACTAAGTTAGATATGTATCTAAAAAAAACTGTATTGGACAAAAAAAAACTGTATTGGACAATCTTGTGAAAAAATACAGTGAATAACTTTTACAACAGTAGTTCTTCCACAGCCAATAATCTGCATAGATGTCAACAATTTACTGCTTTCACTGCTATGGAAGGGGCAATAGTGCCTGAGCTAAGAATAACATTATCAATTCAACACAGAATTTCTTTTTTAGATTTCATTATCACCAATGCGTAAAAATTTATAGAACTATTTATTCACAATAATGTGTACAGATACATCAATACCTTATTATAACTTAACTTATGATAGTGGTGTGCAAAACAAAAATCAGAAACTCATTTGAAATCTTAAACATAACAGTGTTTGTCTGATAGCCTACTCATTCTCGAGTAATATTACATTTTTATTTCATAACTTATGTATATACTGGCAAAGTTCAAGGTGGATTAAAAATTATGACATATTGAATGAATTGATAAATATGATTTAATAGTGTAAAGGAAAATTGCCCTAAAAATATATTTTGAAACATCATTCTTTAAGAAATGTATTTTACTTAATCAAGGGATACGGGGGTTTTCTAAATAAAGCACCATTTCAGGCAGGCCTGGCTAAAAAACTGTTGCACACCACTGATCTTAGGAAAGGAAGGCTGAATGACGCACAGGTAAGATATAAAATTATTAGATGCTCTTCATATATCAAGTGAGACATAAGGTCTGATTAGGGAGCAAGGACCCATTATATGAAAGGCTATTAGTGCAGTATTTCAACCAAACTACATTACAGATTGCACAGAACTTAATGTCTAGAGCAATAATTTCATCATTTATTCCAACAAACATTTATCACAATGAGAATATGTTGCATACAATACATGACTATATTTTATTTAATAAGCAAACTATTATAAATATACTTTACTAACAATTTTGTCTCTTTGTGATATGAAAATATATTCCAAAGCAAATTCTCCAAGACTAACAATAATTGCACTCAGGATTGTGATCACAGAGTCAACAATGAGATGCAGGAATAAAAAGTTTATACATTAAAAGTCAATGACTTACTTGAAATGGGATGTTTGGGGACAAAAGCATAAATAAAAAGAATTGTCTTCCAGATTAACATAGAAATATGGCATTGTTTTTTTAAATTATTAATACTTCATTATCAAATATATTGTGGAAAATTTGGACTAATTAGAAAAACCTATCACTGCAGGAAAATTAAATTTAAAGGTTATTTTTTAAGATTCAAATTATGGTGATGTATTTTAAGGTATGCATTTTCACTACTTTATTTAAATGACTACTGTTTTACAGCAAGTTATTTATTGGAACTCTGCCAGAAGATGATTATGTTTTGAATTCATTCAAATTTCACTGGTTGGTGGTGTTACTAAAATATCAATGATTGACTTGGGTATTCTTTGACCGACAGTGTCTTGGTCTCCTTGAGAAGAGTTTGCTGGTGACATCTGGTCTGCCTCAGACCCAGCAGTAGTGGTCAGACTTTCCAATCCCATGACCATGATGTTGATGTCCAGCTGATGTGGCATCAAATTGTCCATTGATTCTAGCACAGGTGGCACAGGTAAGTTGATAGAGTGACGACGAATAGTTCCATCACTCAACACTGGAACTTGGAGAGTGATTGCGTGTCTCCTAAAATTTTGGGTGAAATTTTTTTATTAAAGCATGTTGTTTGGACACCAAGTTGGTTTTTTTAGTTTTGAAATAAAATCAGTACAGCCAGATATATAGAATTATGTTCATATTACATTTCATTTAAGTAAGGTACTTTTTTAAAAAGCAGCTGAACCCGATTTCATGAAAGATTTTTGGGGTCTATCTTATGATTATTATGAGAATAATTTAGTGAATAGCCCCTGATTGATCTGTGATTCTCCAAAGGCTCTGAGAATGGTGAGAATATCTATATTTCTTTGCGGTGTGTATACCATGGATTTTATCAGTGAATTTCATGTTTTAGTTTGAACTGAAACATCAACTCTAGGTTCTGGAAAGATATTATAGAAGTGGTATAGAAAAGTGTAATGTGCTGTGAATATTTGTAAGATAAAAATTCTTCTCTCCCTAATGAATGCTGTGTTAAAGTACCTTGAAGAATGAATATGAGCAGTTGAAGAAAGTTTCAGTGAACCATGTGAAGGAGTATATTATGTGATTTTATAATTTATGGTGATATGTGTGATGTCTGGACTTAATTTCCTGTACAAAAACTTTGTGCGTTCTATGTTGTGTGGGCCATTCCTGTTGTGAAGTGAATTGGTGGAATATAGGCAAACCTAACCAATCATCCATTATACAACAATCTTTGACACTGTTGACCTAAACATTAGCTATTTGGCTATTAAACATGATAAAACTTCAGTTTATAATATAGAAAAAGAATACCTACTTTTTGCATTAGTCTTATCTCATAGGAAAATTAAGTGTTAATCTATTTAATGGAAATCTTACAGAAAATACTGTAAAATGTTAACCTATGTCTTGGCTCGGCTGGGAGATCTGTATTCGAACGCGATCTCTGAATAAAAACAGGGTTTCCGTCGTAACTTCGTCTTCGATGTCGTTCATCTGCTTCTGTTTTTCGGCACTGGCTGCAGGATCTTCTGTTGCAGTACTTGATTCCCGTGGCAGTTCCATCGCTAAACTGCTTTTCCTGTGGTCCACTGGGCCAAACTGCTCCTCTAGATCCGCTTCCTCTTCTTCCGCTAACACTGATGCTTCCTCGCATTCCTCCTCTAGTGGTGTCTGTTTGATACTCTCTGCTGCTAGTTCTGCCACTACTACTCTGGCTATGTCGCTGATGCTGCCGCTTTCGTCCTAAAAAATTAATGTAGTTTAATTGAAACATTTACAGCGGATATTTAAAATTAATCTATAACAAAAACAATGAGAGTAAAAATTTGCCGCCATTATTAACTTTTGTTAAAGAGTTGAAACTAAAAAAATCACAGTTTAGCAAAGGTGTTGGAAAATTTATTTTTTTCAAAGTAAGATTGAATCAAAGTACTAAATAAATAAAAATACAACATAAACAAAATGTAATCACAACAAAGGGACAACATAGGATGAACTAGGAAAATAATAGAAGTAAAACAGTAAAACTCATCAAAAACTCTGATACAGCTTTATAAAGATAACCATTCAAACAATGGTAAATAAACAAAATGTAATCACAACAAAGGGACAACATAGGATGAACTAGGAAAATAATAGAAGTAAAACAGTAAAACTCATCAAAAACTCTGATACAGCTTTATAAAGATAACCATTCAAACAATGGTAACATCTAACAAATAAATTATGGTTAAAACACTATGGTTCTTCATTTATTTAATTTTTATCTACATGAAATTGCATTGAAATACAATAAAAAGTGCCAGCAAAGTTTAAAGACCATAATAGCTTTTATGAAGGGATGTCTAATTTCGAATACTGGGTTTCTTATCAGCTACCTATCAATTTATTTATAGTTGTAAATGACAAAATAAAAAGTAAAACAATATGTCAAAGAGCTCATAGGTAGGGCTTATAAGCTATTGAATACCTGTATTAATTTTTTAGTTAGACATTTAATTGAATTTATTACCAATTAAAGCTCTTTATTTCATATTTCTGTAACACTTTGGAAAAACCTGATAGCAATAAAACTTAAATAGTCCTGACTTATTTTTCAATATTATTTTTAACAGAAATAATGTGACCATAATCCTTTGGACATCAAATTGATTTATTAAATTATTATATAGAATTTTTTTTTTACTTTCTAGGTTATAATAAAAAAAAATTTTACTTTCTTATTTGGACACAAGATTATTCAATAAATTAAACAATTATTTTAGGGTTGAGAACAAGGTTAAATCCATTTGCATTAAACATTGTTGAAAATGTCAAGTTCATTATCTCCAAGGCCAGTTTAATTTAAAAAGAAAGAATATTAGAAATATTAATTCTATTGATTAAAATAATTTTATTCAGATTGTTCAATTAAAAACTAAACAACTTACTTAGACAATACAGAAGCAAGAGCACAATAAGATAGAAAATAAAAAAATGATAATTTCAGAGGCAAAGGCGATTTTTAAAAACACCCTTATAAAGAGACAAGTAAATAATTCAATTTAATGTGAAACATTTTCAGAAACTTTTTGAAAATGAGTAAAAAAAACTAAAAATGAGTAAAAAACTAAGCAAAGTAGAGATATCTCTAATTCCAAATAATGAATGAGATTATTTTCAAATAATTTTTGTGAATAAAATAAATTATCCCACATAAAAAAAAAACACCCAATCAAAGCAGGTATTTGTTACATATTGAAAGGTATTAAAATAAGCATGTTTATAATAAGTTAAAGCAACATTGAATTCCCATATCCAATGAGGTTATGATGGTTTGATAGGAGGCAGAAAGAAAAAACAAACATTAGACTATATTGAGAATGACCATCAATGAAAGACTCAACACAAACCTGAAAGAAAATCCTTGCCAGCCTCTCATCCTGTTGGCAGAACAGCACACAAAACAGTCATTCTGATTGGCTGGTTAATATTTATAGCATCACACATCAATCATTCTCATACTTGCTTATTTTCATCACAAATATTTTCTTTTCTATCAAGCAACAACCACAATAGTCCTTGTCTAGTTAGAAATTTGTATTGTTCAAAGTAGGCCTACACAGTTGTCTGCCACTGATTGATGAGTGGCTCATGTTCCCAAAAGAGGAACAACTCACACTAACAGAACAGTCAAGTTTTTTTAAATGTTCTCCACTATCTGAAATGATTATGACCTGGAATAATAAAGGTAGGAAAGCTCCCTTCCTTATTATGAACATTTCCCTGTACTATCAATTTTAAAATGTACCCAGCAGCCTCATTTCTAATAACCAGTACCCTCTTTTTATGAACTTGCTTTGGTTAACAAGAGAAATATTAGATGCTTCTTAATTTTTAAAAAAAATAATAATTTTGTAAGTTTGACATCTAAAAAGTAAAATAATTATTACAAGTTATTCACCAACTGCAAAACAAATATTGTAAACATATTCATTGCCACTTAAAGAACCTTGACCTTAATATAGTTTCCTATCATGCATCAATCACCTTAAGTTAGCACCAACTGTTACTGAGGATGTACTCCAGTTAATAATCCACAAATTAAGATGACTTTAAGTTAGAAGGGAAACATCTAGTGAATTTGTTATAGATCAAACCGTTTTAGTTCATTAATTCACATTAAATTACTACCAAAATCCCTATGACATTATTTTAGATCTCAATCCATAAAAAAAATTGTTAAGTCATGCAGATTCCTCCTAATATTGCACAACCTACCCATCAACATTAGCCAATCTGGCTGCGAACAGAAAGGTAGCCTTCATTTCATTAAAATGGTCAGAGCAATCCAATTATTAGAAAAAGTAAGTTAAACTGTAGCTCTAAGATGCTACATTATCTAGCTACACAGCTTATAAATAATATTTAAAAAGCACACTCNTATGACATTATTTTAGATCTCAATCCATAAAAAAAATTGTTAAGTCATGCAGATTCCTCCTAATATTGCACAACCTACCCATCAACATTAGCCAATCTGGCTGCGAACAGAAAGGTAGCCTTCATTTCATTAAAATGGTCAGAGCAATCCAATTATTAGAAAAAGTAAGTTAAACTGTAGCTCTAAGATGCTACATTATCTAGCTACACAGCTTATAAATAATATTTAAAAAGCACACTCTTATAAAATAAAATTTACACTTATAAATAAAAATATTTTCCATACATATGTTATTTAACTAAATTCTAATTGTATTTTAGCTCCTAAAACATAAAAATAATAGAGTATAAACAAGTAGTCTCAACTAGCCAAACATCAAACAATTCTATGAAAGATGCTAGTGCAAAATCTAAGTTTTAAGGACCATGTGAATATTTTAAAAATCTAATACTAAAACAAAAGCACACTAATGAGTTTGATGCAGATAATAATGAAAGGTAAGTCAGATACCTGTGAGATCTGCCTCAATCTGTGACGGATAAGAGACTCCATTCTCTGATGTTCCATCTCCTCTGCTTGCTTGAGTTCCAACTATTTACTGTTGGCTGCAGACTTCTCTTTAAGTTCAGCATCCACTTCATGATAGCTTCAACAACAGAGAACATGATGCCTGAAGCTGGTACTGGTGAACACGGTGGGGAGCTGTCAATGAGACAAGATGTGTCAATGTTGTCAGTGATGCTTGTATACTCTCCAATCAATGGTGAGAACATTGATGTCAGATCACGCACTGCGGCTGGTGGGATGTTTTCAGGATTTGGAGTGGTGAAACATGCTGATGACTGGGGCATGGAGCAAGGGGTGAAATGCTTGTATACTCTCCAATCAATGGTGAGAACATTGATGTCAGATCACGCACTGCGGCTGGTGGGATGTTTTCAGGATTTGGAGTGGTGAAACATGCTGATGACTGGGGCATGGAGCAAGGGGTGACACCTCAAGCTCATCAGGTGTCAGTCCAAAATCTCCCCCCCTCCCTGCCATTTACAGAGTATTCTGAAAGTTTTGTTGAGGTGTGAGTTTCTGAGTCCATTTTAGCTGTCACATCAATGGAAGGCTGCTTCAATAAGTTGACTATACTCTCATTTTGATCATATGCTGAATGTACAATGGGTTCAACAAAACGAACAGCTTGAGCTGCAAAGTTCTTTATTTTCTGTTTATGAGAAGACTGCTCATCTTGTTCACTTGTCTGCTCTGGTTTCTCTTCTGCTCTTAGAAAGAATCGGGTGACACCATGAGTTTACCGCACCGGGTGGCACCAACCCTAGCTACGCCACTGGTCATTTGGGAACATTTTTGTCTAGCAATGGATCGTCATGAACAAGGTTTTTTTTTTTTTTTTAGAATCTACGATAAAAATTCGGAGCAATCAAAACTGATGCTAAGCTGAAAGCTGGAATTGTTATTAGGCAAGAGATCCGCGAGCTGATGAATTGCCTCAAGGGTATTTCTTACATTCTTATCTGACTATATAGTAGTATATAGCCAGTATAGCCGAGGCCCTTTACTAATTGTATTAAGAAAATTAAGGAAATTCTCAAGTAATTAAAATTAAATATGTAGATTATTATGAATATCTTAACACTGATCCAAAATCATAAACCCCGATTGGAAGAATCGATTTATAGCTTATGACCTATGACAGAAATCTTATTCGTGTGAATGATGATTTAATTATTAAAGAAATCTTGCATTAAACTTCGAAATGTTCTCACAGTGTCGAGAAAACAAAACAACAAGGGAGATTATGCTTAACTACTCTTGCAAGAAGATGCCAACATGTCAAAAATATCCACAATTATTGTGCCATGAATTTATTACATACAGTTCTTATTGAAATATTGACGAATTATAGCAAAATGATATTTACAATGCAATATTAGCACTCACAAAATTAAAATGACCAGGTAAACATTCCACAACGATTATATTTAGTCAGTAAACTTACTTAGTGGTCAACGCAAATGACCACTTTGACTTTGATTTTCTGACTTACTTAGACTTAGTGACACTTTGACTTAGCCTTAGTTACTTATATTTATATCGCGGGGAAAGCAACTGACTTTTTAATTATCCTAGCCTTTAACTTTTCCATATAATAAAATAGTTTATTCTGTTGCCTTTTATTTTACACCCTATTAACTATTAATAGTAGTTCAGTATACCATAGCAGTCTATGTCTATTGTGTATACTATAAGTAGGTATAGTTTACATTCACTCATTTAAAAAAACACATCTGCTAAAATGGTGATGGAATGGGAGAGAACTTGCTCGTTTAGCTATTTGGAGAAAGAAACGAAAGTAGGAACAAAACGTTAACATTTGATAAAATAATTTCAGCTGGTAGATAAATTTCATGGCGAATGAAAATATGGTAAATTTGGAGAGATAGCACCGTGGCCGCCATCTTGGTTGCCGCGACTCGCGAACTTATGTCCTAAATGTATCACTAAACCTAACCTGAACCCTAAATCTATTTCTAAACCTAACCTGAACCCTATCGGAACCAGGGTTTTGACCCTATTGGAACCAGGGACATAACACGCAAATAATGTCAGGGTTCTATCTCTTTAAATTAGCCAAAAATACTTATTGTATCCCTCTAGCTCAGGCCTACACGACATACAGGCCGCATGTGGCCCACCAGCACCAACTTTGCGGCCCGCGAAGTAACGAAATATTTTTTATTCTTATTATTTTCTTTATAGCTTTCCCCATGACATATATTCTTTTGGCCGCAGAAGTCTTGTCCTACTTTCTTTTGGCCCGCACAAGTTTTTCATAAAGTATTACGGCCCGCCTTACATTTTGAGTAGTGCAGGCCTGCTCTAGATATTCAGCAAGAAGTCTAACTGACCTGAGGTCGCGCCCTTTCCTAGCATAATTTCAGCCAGTACATGCTCCTTTCCCTCAATTAAAACACAGTTACACACAGTAAAAATTTATAAAAAAAACAGTATTTTAAAATAATGAAAACACAATTTACAGTTTGATAATCAAACTTTGATACGAAGCAGGTTTACACACTTTTTCAGGTTCCACAGAAAAGAAAATCCAAAAGTTGTCAGGAAATCAGTACAATACTATACCCATTTTCTAAAATGCCGGAAAATTTAAATATTATAATTAACCAACCACTGAAATTTTAATTAAAAAACATTCTATTATGGTATTAAAGAAAAGTTAACTCTAGTAAAAATACAAGAATAAACAAAAGGGAGAAAATCCTACACACACATATGTCATGGTGCAGATTGCAGAAATTGAAAATTTCATATGTCACAATGATTGTTATTGGCAATCAACTTAGCATTCAAACAAATATATAGAAAAATTTTTAAATATTATACAAATATAGTATCTTCATACAATATTCATTAGGAATGATAATTTTACCTCTTTTTTTGCTGATGACAACTAGGCAATGTTTATTATTGTTTATTAAGTTTATATCAAAGTCAGTCTCTTTGCATTCAACACTTAGTAAAGCTAGATCTTTGTTCAGTGTTTTAGCTAATTTAGTACAAGTAAACTAACTTCAAATTATAAACAAAATTGAATTTATATTTTTATGTATAAACTTTTTGTCCAGCGAGGCTATTTTGTGTCGTCCCACCCCCCAATTTATTTTTAAAGTGGTGTCCATCCTTCGTATGCCCCTGCCCTGATCCTATACTTTTTTCCCTTGGAAGGTGGTACAGATTAGCTGTTCAACAATGCTGTACAAGTAATAGTACTAAAGTACTAAAAATGCTATTAATTGTTAATAATTGTTAAAGTAGGCGTCTCATCTTAATATCAGATATAATATTATAATTTTTAAATTTCAAAGACCAAACCAAAAAGTCAAAAGTGTTTCAAAAGTCTACAATAGTCTACACAAAAAATATTTCATCAGTTTTAGCACATAAGCTATGCATTAGTGATCATTCTTTATGAATGATTGAATAAACAATATTGGGGGAGGGGGTATGGTTAGAAAATATTTAATTTATAAGAAACTGATAATAAGACTAAATTAATTATTTCATGAAAGGGATTTAAAGTATATTATTTAATATGTTTGTATTGTTGGACTATGCTTTATCATAAATGGTATGTTCTTTTCGCTTAAGGCTTGATGCAGTTTTCTAAGTCATGGTATTACCTGGTAAGCATTGAACTGAAGAAAAATTTTCTCCGCTGATCTGAGACACACAAAAAAAATGGTTCAAAGATTTACAGGGGACATACTGCCAAGTCGAAACTTTAATTCATCTTCAGGGTAATTTTTTAAACTTTTTCAAGTGAATTAAAGTGAAATACACTTGTACATCAGTCTTTTTATCATTTTTTTTTATTATTATTATATTGACATTTTGCTCAAGTGGTTTTATTTTGTTTAAAATTTATCCTAAGTTTATTTTTTCTGCCTTCTGTAAAAAAAAAAATTAAACTGTATATTTTTATTTTTTTAAACTTTTATATTCAATTTCAGGCTTACAATATACATAGTTCTACTGATAATTTCAAAAGTACTGAAAGCTGTTGGGCTGTTTATTGCATATGACATCCTCAAGCTCATTCCAATTGTTGTTTTTCTTTTCCTTTTTAAAGCAGGGTAAGTTTTTGTGCTTTTTTTTATAGAGTAATAAGTCTGTAGAGCAGGCCTGCACAACATACGGCCCGCAGGCAACATGCGGCCAGTGAAGTAATTAAATATTCTTTATTCTTATTATTTTCTTAATAGCTTTCCCTCATGTCCTATTTTCTTTTGGCCTGCACAAGTTTTTCATATAGTATTACAACCCTCCTTACATTTTGAGATGTGCAGGCGTGGTATAGAGGGATAATTCTGTAATATAAACATTTGAAAATATTCATTCAGTCCTCAAGTGCAAGCCAATGCATAAGCAGCACCCATGCAACACTCACTCACTTTGTATGAAATAAGGGTTAATTTATTTTATAGAAATCAAGCTTTCAGTTTATAATTCTTCATATCTATTATTTCATTTTGTGTTTGCTTTTCTGCCTATATATTATAATAATTATATTATTTATTATTTCCTTTATATATTTCTTTATAAATGTCTTGTATTTTTTAAAAAAAATGCTAAAACTTTTTACAAATACTTAACAATGGCAACAATTAAACATTTTCCTATTAAAAAATAATTGTAAGGGGCATCGTATTTGAGAATAGGGCATGTTCCAAGGATTATGTAACAACAAATGGATGAGACACCTTGTTTTAGCATTATATATAAAATTTTAAAAGTGTGTAAATTTCTTCTCATTTTTTTTTAAAACCTTTTCAGTTAAGAAAATTTACATGGTCAGATAATATGATTAATTTTTCAGTCTAAACCACTTGTCTGTTATAATTTAAACTGACAATAAATAGAAATATGGAAATAAAAGTACCTAAGAACTAAACACAAAAAATAATATAGAAATTTTAATTATAAATATTTTCAGTACTGCACTACCACTAGTTTTTCTTCAGAAGCCATTTTCATCAGGACCACCACTGTCTAAACATCAGGTAAATATTTTAAGTGTGGTTTCATTGTCATCCAACTTAAGACATATTTTTTACCAGTATTTTAAATCGGTGCTAGTGAAATCTTAAGAAATAATTGATTTAATTTTTTAGTGTTTTCTAATGAAAGTAATGCATTTTAGACTAGAGTGTGAAAAATTGTGGGAAATTGTTTTTAAAATTTTAGAATATGCTAATATTTCATTTACAGTGGTTCAGAGTATGGAGACATGCCCTTATTGGAACAGTTATTAGCTTTTTATGGATCTTTGGTCTAACTCTTTGTGGGCCTTTGAGGTAGATGTGCACTGATGGAATGAAATTTCCTGATGTTTGTTATAAATATGAAAGAAGTGCTCTATAATATCTCTGTCGAGTATGGGAGTTCAATAATAATTGTTGCGACTGAATGTTATTATTTATTATGTTTCATTATGCTCGATGTGTGGTTGAGAGTTTTATTAGTTAGTGAACGCTTTTCCCGCGCTTGACTTGGTGACATAATTTTATGCTCATTATGACATATTGTCTAGACTGTATTATGATATACGTCTGGCAGTCGTGAATGGAACTTTGTGGAAGTAGAATGTGTTTTATTTCTGTCTGATAGTTGCACTATATGCATGCGTTTATGGAAATTAAAACCTGTATTTATAATTAGGTATTAAAGTTACATTTATTGTGATAAAGGACTTGAGTTGATTCAATACTAGTATGACATATTGCAACGTGTGAAAGACCCTGACGAATTAACCAATCTAGTAGAAACAAGGAGTTGACAATGAATGACAATCTCCACTGTTCACAGTAAATGTGTCTGTTTTTCGCAGTAAAAACAAAAAGAAACAAAATTTACACATATTGGAAAATGCACACTTATTTAACAACCAGAGTTGAGTTAAAAAGATTACTCATAGAGTAGGTTTTATGTCCATTGAGAAGTGTTAATGTTGTTACTTTGAAATTTCATTGAGAATCTCATTTGAATTTTACATCATTTTTTTTCTAGAACAATTATTTTATTTGAACACAATGAGCTTGTTGTCATAGCAGGAGCCAGTGCACTTTTCACTTCCAATGGAGGAGGTGGTGGGCCTTCTAAGGTAATTCAAAATTTGTACTTATTCAGACATGTTTATTCTATTTTATTTTTAAAATTCATTTATTACAAATGATTCATAATCTTAATTCTGATGAATCAATAGAATTAAAAATATTAAGAATGATCAGTGTTTTTTTAGTTTTTCTAATTTTGCAAGGAAGAAAGTAACTACATGAAATTTACTGAGTACAATTACTGTATTTTAACAAATAAATGAGTTTTTTTAAAAATTATATTAAATGTATTGCTGCTCAGTTGTGTAAACATTAAAGGAAAGTGCAGGGCAGACAAGAATACAATTAATTTTTTTTTTAAATAGTTGCATCACATAACCTGTGGAATACTTTTTTTTATTACTTCCCTTCCACTCCCAATAAAATGATTGTGGTGTGATTTGTATTTTAAAATTTTAAACCATTTTCATTTAAATATAATTTGACATTTTTTGTATTAATTTCAGGCTAGAGGTGCTATATTTTTCATTGTGGCAGTTATATCTCTCCTTGTATTTGATCACGATGAAAAATTAAGCCATATGGGGGACCATGATAATAATGGTGAGTTCATATGATGGTAAAAGTTGACAAAAATTAAATGAAGTATGAAATCAAGATTTTAAATATAACTTCATACCCTAAAAACGAAGTTAAAAAATGAAAACATTTTTATATTTTCAAACTTGTAGTCACTGTTGTCTTAACCAAAAACATTTATGAACTATGTCAGTTGATATCGTATTTTCATGTTTATACGATGGATCTTTTTCATTTCATTCATTTGTTATAAAACAGACTTCAAATTAAGATTTAATTTCATTTATTCTTTTTTTTTTAAAGACGGTTTATGACTTAATTTTGGGTTGTTGTTTTTTTGGATTTTTTTTTTTGTTTTTTTTTAGTCTCAGTTGTAGTGGGGGGCGGGTGTGGGGGTGTGGTGTTTTTTTTTTAGTTTTGTTTATTTAATTTTTGTTTATTTACTTTTTTTTTTTATATTTTTATGTTTATACGATGGATTTTTTTCATTTTATTTATTTGTTATAAAACAGACTTAAAATTAATATTTAATTTTATTTTTTCTTTTTTTTTAAAGACTGTTTATGATTTATTTTTGGGTTGTTGTTTTTTTGGATTTTTTTTTTTGTTTTTTTTTAGACTCAGTAGTAGTGGGGGGCGGGTGTGGGGGTGTGGTGTTTATTTTTAAGTTTTGTATAATAAATTTGTGCCTACTTACTTTTTTTATTTCAGAAAATATTCATCACAACATTTTAACTCATGTCTTTAAACATGGGATTGATTTCCTGGGATGGTCAGATCATAAGGTCAGTTGATGCCAAAATTTCTAATAAGAATAAATAGCTTGATTTCCTCATAAAAATAAATAGCTTGATTCCCTTATAAGAATAAATTTAAAAAACTTGATTTCCTTATTAGGATACATCAAAACAAGGATCTTTATAGTTTTCTATTTATATAAATGTTTCTGCATCATTTTCATAGAAAGAATAGGCTGCAGAAAGAATAGAAATTATACAGAGAAATGATGCTTGTCACACTCGCCGTCTGACATTGAACATTTGGTTACACTTCCTGTGTAATCTCAACAATGAATTTGATACAGTTTTTAAAAAGTATCCCTGAAATCATAAAATCAAAATCTATATATTCTCTAATTTTGTGTTCAGAATCAGAAAAAAATCCATACCCAAAATCAAGAATCAGAAATTGACTGAAAAATTATTTCTCTTTTGCCCAACTTTGATTGTTTCTTTTATGTTACACTATTTATTTATTAATAGCGCAAGTGAACTTCTTTAATATTATCTTTTCTATCCATCTCCAGGGTGGTGTTGTGCTTCTGTTTCTCACCCTCTGCCTGCATTCAGGATACACATCTGCGTCCAAAAAGTTGTCAGTTGAAGTGGGGGGAGCTAAACGTCTCCACAGTCTATCTACACTTGTGTCTACTGGCTTTCTTTGGCCATGGGCTTGCTTCATTTATTTTACTACTGAGGTAGGCAACAATTTCACATTCATTATTCCTATTTTGATGATTAATAACATGTATTTAACAGCAGTTAGATATAGTGTTTGGCAGATAAAAAATACCTCTATTATACTTGTAAATAAAAAAATTTTTATAAGCAGTGCTTAAGAGAGATAATATTTTTTCTAATTATAAAATAAAATATAAACATTTAAAATTCATTATATCATTTAAATTAATTCTTCTCTGAATGTTAAATAATTTCAGATTGAGATTCAGTCTTGGCTGTACCTGGTTTTTCCATTGCTGCTAGTTATATTATTTGTCGGTGTCTTTGACTTCTACTTTGAAAGTCTTGCTGCTAGTCATCTCCAGCCAATTAAGGTTGTTATCTTAGCCCCGGCTGCCATGTTTAGTGCAGCTATAATCCTCAGCCTGACATGGACACATCCCTATGTCACCAGAGTAACAACTTTACACAAGCTGGAGGACATTATCACAGAGGATCATGTCTTGTCTGGGGGTGTTGTATTCAGTGTTCTGGCATTTCTCTTAGGTATGCTCTCTAATTTATTTGTATTGTAAATATTTAATAGTCAAAAATAGATAAATGTATTGTGTTTTGTAAATTAATTCATTAAAATATTTAAAAACTCAAATGAAATTACTGTATAATTTTACCATTACAAAAGATTTACATAGTTTTCTTATAGAGAAAATAATTTGTTGACATTCCTGTTTTTGTCTTTACAATCATCCAAAAATGATTTAATCATTGTTTTTTTGGGATGTAATGACAATTAATTTTTGAATTAAAAAATGAAATGAAAAATGTTGCCATATTTTTTATAACCTGAGGTCCTCATACCTTTGTGCTTTCTCTTCTTAGCCACCCGAATGGTCATGGCGAGAGGACGAGCTGCAAAGGGTAGTTTTATAGGCTACAACCCAGCTGGCCTGCCTCTGTACTCAATAGCTCTTCAGAAAACCTCTCATTCCATTATTTCAGTTTTAAAAAGTGGTTTGAGACAAATTTTGGAGGATGGAGATTCAAGAAAGATTTTTTATTTTCTTTGTATTAATCTATGCAAGTATTTTCCTCTACTTTTTAAAAAAATCTAACAAAGAAGATTGAGGGAGTTGATAAAATTTAAGCAATGAATTTCTTAGGCTACGGTACTATTGGAATAGTTTTTTTAGGCTACGGGTACTATTGGAATAGTTTTAATTTAAATGTTAAAATAAAGAAAACCAATGTGAAGGTATTAAAAGCAATCTTGGCAGACTTCTGCATGGTCAATTTCATTTTGCAGGATTTTAAATGGAAATTTATTTAAAAAAAAACACCTATATTGTTTGATATAAATTACTATTTGTATTAAAAAATAAGCATTTACTCTGAAAATTCATATATTGAAATAAATTACGTTGATGAAATATTTCTTATAACTACATTTAGTTTAATTTAAGATTTAACTTTCTCTTAATCTTAAGATAAATGTCTTAATTAATGTTCAAAAACTTATAATAAATTATGTTTCCATTGTTTGACTGTCATTTCACTAGGTTTTACATTTGTAGAACTGCTATATGGAGTCTGGACTAACAGTCTCGGGTTAATTTCTGATGGCTTCCATATGTTATTTGACTGCTCAGCTCTTGTCATGGGACTCTATGCCTCAATTATGGTTAGATGGAAGGCAACCAGAGTTTTCTCTTATGGGTCAGTATATTTCAAGAACAAGGCATATAACTGATAAATGCAGGCAGCCTTTGCAACTAAATTTTATAAACCTCCAAGAGGCTTTACATGAAACACGTAACGATAATCCCAATATTAATTTAGTTTTAAAAAACACATCTTGGGATATTGAATCATTTTTGTTAAATATTTATGTTTAAAATAAATTATTTAAAGCATTAGATCACTTACTATTAAAACCTATTATCACTGAAGGGTCTAGCATAATAGATTTTTAAATGGATTTTTTTATTTTCAAGTTTTGACCGAGTTGAGGTTCTCTCTGGATTTGTGAATGGTCTGTTCCTAGTGATCATTGCACTTTTTGTTTTTGCTGAGGCCTTCGCTAGAATGTTTGAGCCACCTGAAGTTATAACAGAAAGATTGTTGGTGAGATTTAGATCATTTAAAAAATTCATTTCACTATGATTGCAAAGCAAAAATCTATAACTCTTTTGTCGGTTTAGAACATAGTCCTAAAAGCAACACTCAAAAAAAACAAACAATTGATATATAAAATAACATAGATACTGTTAATACTATGACCTAATATTCAGAACTAATATGTTTGCTCTTATGGGACATTTCAGATTGTCTCTGTACTAGGTCTACTGGTGAACCTTATTGGAATAGTTGCATTCCAGAGTTCACTTTCTCATGGTCACAGCCATGGAGGTTTGAGCCATGGACATGGCCAGAGTCCAAGTGGTGGTGGGGATAAGAGTGTAGGTCATGGTCACAGCCATAGTGTAGGTCATGGTCACAGCCATAGTGGAGGTCATGGTCACAGCCATGGGTCAGTTTCCCAAGAGTGTAGCCAACCTCCAAGTGTCTCACATGGTCACTCTCACCACAATACAAATATGGAAGGTATGAAATTCAATCATCTCTACGTCATGATAAAATAAAGTTTTTAAAATTTAATTTTAAATGAACTGTTTTTTCAACCAAATATTGATCACCTAGTTTTGAGAAAATGAACCTCATCTGAAACTTGATGGTATGTGCATTGCTCAATATCATTTTAAAACCTATTAGTAATATTTCAGCCAGGTTTTAGCAGAGGCATCTGATTGACTAGTGACTTCTATGACAGTATTGGGCTGTAAATGCAAGATCTATATAAACTTAGCATAAAATGTTACATCTCTCATCTCTTGCTCCTCTTTCTCTCTTCTCTCACCTCTCTCTCTCTCTCCCCTTGAGAAAAAATTCTGCGAATGCATATTTTTTAAATGTCAGTAAATATCCAATTTTCTTTAAAGAAAAAATTAAAAGTCATTATTGTAGATTATAATGTCGACCATAGAACCATATTTGCTGACTGATCACATTTTTGTTTTTTAAATGTATAAGTTATTTTTTTCAAAGCATGCTTATTAATTTGTAAAGTGATATATTAGGCCAATCATTGATTATCTGCCAATTAATTGATGCAACCCTGATGTATGTATTTGTGGTGTGGTTGGTGGAAAAATGTCTTGCCATATCTATGAAGTATAAAAAAAAGTTTCATAAACATACAAGGCTTAAAGGATTGTTAAAGTTAATTCATTTTTTATATATTTTTTTTTCATATCAGGTGTATTTCTTCATGTTCTAGCCGATACTATGGGCAGTGTTGGAGTCATTGTGTCTACTCTCCTTATTGAAAACTTTGGCTGGAACATAGCTGATCCCATTTGCTCCCTATTCATTGCTACCATGATATTTTTAAGTGTTATACCCCTGTTAAAGGAAACTGCTGTAATACTCATACTGAGATCTCCAGCTGAATTTGAAGACTCCATTTCTAATGCCTTACATAAGGTAAGGGTATTAATTTATTTTTATTAACTTTTAGAACTAGTTTTGATTTTTTTTTTTTTTTATATTAATTTGAGACCTCCTTTACTTGTATTTGAATTTTTTCAAAGACTAATTTCTATTTGACTAATTATGTGTATAGTATAATGGATTATTTACTTTTTTTTCTTCTCACAGATAACAACCATTGAAGGTGTTTTGTCTTATCGAGAGCCTCACTTTTGGTCCCACACTGCCAACAAAGTTCTGGGTATGATTCATGTTCAAGTGTGGCCTCAAGCCCAGGAGCAGCGGATAATTGCTCAGGTTTGTTTATCAAATGCAATCAATCAACTCAAAAAGAGCTCTAAAAGATATTTCAATTTTAAATTGCTTTTAAAAAAAAGAAAATTACCTCTTTTTTTATTTGAGATTTCTATTTAAAAAAACTGAATTATAATACTTTAAATTATTTTTATTTCTTATGTCACTTTAGTTAAGTTAAAAAGAAAATAATATTAACATCTGTAGATTGCAGTGTAAATAAGAGCTTATATTGTTTATGTTTATGCTTTTTTTTTTTTAAATGCAGGTGACATCAGTCTTTAAAGATGCTGGTGTAACATCAATAAATGTACAAGTTGAGAAACAGTCTTACTTCTTCCATTTATCTGGTCTTGGGGCTTCTACTGTCAACATTACTCAGTTCTCACAGCCTCCACCTCACAAACTTTCTGACCCTCTCAGCATTAAAGCTGTGTAAATTAAAACTCTAGTTGAAATTTTATTTATTTGACGCTTTTGTGATACCTACATAAGGGGTTGTTCGTAAATTACGCCATGCTAAAAATGACCTTTTAGACACCAGCACGCCCCCCCCCCCCCCCGGTCACAAAATGTCACAAATTCTTTAACGCCGCCCCCCCCCAGGTGTCACATGTCACACCTAAAAAAAATGCATAACATACATAAAATTTTCTTAACTCAACTAAGAGTTTATTTTATTCTTTAAAATTTTCCCATAATGGAATTAAGATGTAGTATTATTAGAAAACTGGTTTTCATAGTACCTATAATATCTGCGGCAATATAGACCTCATATTAATGTTTTTTAAAATTAATTAAATAAAGATTTTTTTCTAAGTTAGAAAATTTAAAATTTTTTTTTAAAAAGTGACATCACACATTTTTTANNNNCCCCCCCGTCGCAAAGTGTCACAAATTCTTGGACCCACACCCTCCCCCCTGAGCGTGACGTAATTTGCGAACGACCCCCTAAGAAGAACCTGAATTTGAAAGAGCCTTCTGACCAGATGTTGGAAGCCCAGGTCAATGCTTGGAAATTTACTTGAAGGATTTGTGCTAGATAACAGGAAAGCTATCATGATCTTTTATTAATACATTTTATGTAGGTAATGATCACACTTATTCTTTAAGGGAAATGGCTTTAATGAATTGCTATGAATCTATGAATAACTGCATGCAATGATGCTTGAGTGGCAGGTTTTAGATGTTATCATTGGTATCATACCTTGTGAATGAAAAGAAATTGGATTATGTAGAGTTTAAAGAGTGTTTTGAAAGAAAATTCAGCACTGTGCAATAGTAATATAATAGATTAGTTTAAAGATAAAAGATGACATTTAGATTTAGAGGCTCAAGGCGAAACCTCACATGTGACATAAAAAAAACATCTGAAGAATGTATCATTAATATTGAGACAAGGTATGCCCTCTAGTACAGTGGTCCCCAAATGGCGGTCCGTGGACCTTCACCGGTCCGCGTGCCTAACGCTGCTGGTCCCCATAACATAAATATTTATTGTCAAATAGAAATAAAAGTATAAAAATAAATCATGCACCGGTCCCTGGTAAAATTTCGAAACTTGTTCACCGGTCCGCCAAACTTAAAAGTTTGGGAACCACTGCTCTAGTATATTTGAAAGAGACATGTCCACTAGTATTGAAAATTTGAATGTGATTTTTCCCTCTAGTGATGCATTTTCGAACAAGCTATATACCCTCTTGTAATGAATATTTGAAAGAGATATACCCTGTATTAATGAATATTTGATTGACATATGCCCTTTTAGCTTGACTTGAACGCAGAAATGGAAATAGGTGTGAGGAACATATCATTATAAAGATGCTTTATTTATTTATGAAATTTAATTGAAATGATTTTTAAAACTTTTTAATAAGACTCTCTTACAAGTAAATAAAATTCCCAGGGCGTTTAAATTTTAGTCGCAAGTGAAATAATTTTCAGAAATCAGATAAAAAGGTAAATAAAAGATTTTATAAGTAGTAGTGAGCCATTAAGCATGATAAAGAAATAATTGCCTCCAGATTTTAACTAAGCTAAATATTTAAATTGTTTAATGGAGAGTTTATGTTCAATGAGCAGTATGCAGAGACCTTTTATTTATTTATAATAAAATGTTTACAAATTATTTAAACTCCACAACAGAAACAGTTATTTTTAGATAAACTATTCAGAACATAATTGATTGTCTTGTCTTTTCACTAGTGTTTTTTTTTTATAGTATATTTCCTTATAATGTATCTAAATTTGAGTCAAAGTCTTTATATTTGATTTGAAACTCTTTTATAGAATGCTTTTTCCTTACAAAGATAGGCCCATACTTAAAAAGCAGTCAAAGCTTGCTCTTTACTGCTACTTTTATTCTCATATAATAACTTAAATAAATATTAATAAATTTAAATTATTTCTTATTTTACTCAAAACAAATCAGTTATGAACTTACCAGAACAGAAACAAAAAAACTTGCTGAGATTGTAAAACTGGGAGACCTCAGCAAATTTATTTAAAAAGACTTAAGCTTATTGATTAGAAGAATATATGCATTAATGTACAATTTGTTATTTGTATATAAATAGGACCATATTTTGTTGAAAATAGTATAACTTATCAATCTATTGAATATAATGGTAATAGTGTTTCAAATTGTAACTAATTCATTTGTATATAATAAAAAAAAAATGTTTTATCAATTTTCTGTATTGTTCAAGTTTTTTTGTTCAAGGTTATGATGGTCCAATATAGTTTGCTGAGTGAGAAGAAACTATAAGCAGTCCTTTATTTATTCAGCAATGCTTAAGCAGCTTATTACATTTCACTTGAAAGTTAGAAATGAAAACACTTATTAACTTGGGAATGAGTCAATATTTCTTGCCTACTTGATAATTCTGGTTTTCAGGTAAGGTTTTTTTTGGTTTCTATTCTCTGTTAAAATAAATATAAGATCTATGTTTAGTGGTTTTGTTTCTTTTCAATGTCTAACTTAAATATTTTATTTTAAGATATGTTTTATTATTGTGTATTCTAAATCATTACTGGTACCATTTTTTTTTTTAAATATTCGAGCAACATATTGTAATTTTTAATTTTTTATAAAGCAGCTATTTTAATATTGATAAGCAAGCAAGAAATATATAGACAAAATTTCTGGTTTGTAATCAGCAGAAAGAATAAGATTATGAGGCCACTTAGAAATTTATCTGAAAACATCTAACAAGCAATATTTTGATCTACACTTATCATGTTTGTCCCTAAGACATTACTTAAATTTTTCTATGTTTGTTACATTGAGAAAAATTTACAGATCATTAATTGTGATGACTGGTCCCCGGTAGATTTTATTTGAATGGAATAAAATCAAATCTTAATCTTATAAATTATTTGCTGCTTTTATACTTCAGTTCTCTCAAATTAACTAACATCGCTAACACTAGAAATACTCCATTTGGGATTTTTTTTAAAGGAAGAATTTTATTAGTAATAATGCTTTTACAAATAAAAGGGTACAAAATTACATTCAGTTTTCCCTTTGGAACCATTAATTATATCTGCACTTTGGCACCCCCTTAAATTTTACTTTACTGGTTGTGGCACTTAAGTGACATTAAGATATTGATTTCCACTTGCCAAACTTTTGTGTGGGCTAGAAACTCACTTAAATCATATTACTATTCATTTCTTTCAATGATGCTTCTAATTTTTCTAATGGATTGAGCCTAAATAAATTAAGTATTTGTAAAAAGTTAGAATTGTGCTAATTATGTATTTATTATTATTGTGTAAAGAAATGAAGTAGGCCCTATTTAATCAGGCTCTACAGATTTTTTCACATTGCTGTATAGAAGACTTAATTCATTTTATTTACTATTACTATTAGTATACTATTTAGGAGAAAAAAAAAGTATTTTTTAAAAACAAATTCTGGGTATGGGAACTTAAACCTCCCACAAAAACCCTTTCTCCAAACAAGTTGCCAGAAAAACCCGTCCACATCCTCACCTTTTAGCTCCCCACCGTGCCCCACCCATTTACATCCTGACCGTCTACCCTACCTAACCATTCACGCTCACTTCATTTAGTCAATGCCTGGAACCTAAAATGAATTAGCGACTGTCTTTAATGTCAACTTCTTCACATGTTTTGCTCTTTTTATAGTTGAAATCGTCAAAAGCAATAAAAATTAAAATACTCATTTACCCTCGTCATCATCCACTTTAGCGAAATAATTATTTGATATATACAAAATTGCGATATTTTATAAAAGTCGCTAACTACGTTACTTGTAACAAAATGGCAGACTCGACGGCGATCGACTACCTCGAAAATAGAATTTCTAGCCTCGAATCACTTGTCTTTGGAAGTTCCGAAAAAGATGCCGATTATCCTAAGGTATTAACGCAAATATTATTTAAATAAAACTATTATTGAATCCAGATTCCATTCCACAATGTATCTCAGATGAGAGATGATTTAATAGTCCCAGAACTAATCATTTTTTAGTTTAGTCCTTTTCATTTAAGTAATACTGATATTATTACTATTACTGAATTACTCAGAAATTACTGATCACTAATCATACTGCGATTAAGAGTCATTAATTTATGGATTTTTAAAATTTACTTAATAATAATAAATAACTTCAGTCCAGTCAGCTCAAGAGTCATATGACAAAAGACTTGAAAAGTAAACACATTCACATAGGAATAAGAAAATAACTCACTAATTTAATTTATTATTAATATTATATTTTCTTTAATGTAAGCATATAAATAAAAAATAAATGTGGAATAGTCAAAAGTTATTTGTTAGTCTAACAGATCCCTTTCCAACAACAACAAATTCAGATTGAGGCATTGAAGGGGATAGGAACTTTAAGTGCAAATATCTGTGACTGTGTGTGTGAATAACCTTATTTATTTGTCTTCACCATAGTTGGCGCAAGCATGTATGGCTAGTACCGACAGTGGGCAAAGGATTCTTTTCAAAAATAATTATACAATGAATTATAACTACAAAGCATGTACTCTATTAATATGCTACATCCAAACAATTGTATTGGATAAAAAAAAAACATCTAGTCCTAGTGGCTACATCACCATTCTTAAGATGAGATGAAGTCTAGATAAGTAAATCTCAAAATGGCCAACACATGTCCCACTTTGGAGACGCATGTCAAAAATTGAGAAAAATATAAAATACAAAAAGAAGGATACATATTCATGCGTATCAAAATGATCATACATTGACAATGATTAACTAAGCTATATATATGGTGATGCAATATATTCAATATAAATATAAGGAATGAAATAGAAATGTGTAACCAACTCATTAGGTTTAGAAATGGCCAGCTTCAGACTCACTAAGGAATACGTATGGTAACTTTGCGTTACAGTCTTAAAAGAAAAATTTTTCTTGGGTATTTATAGTGGATTTACTATAATTGGTCACTGGTCAAATCCATTTCATGTTCTGAGACCAATGAAGCTTAAATTTAGATGCGTAATAAAATTTCCACAGGCTATCAGCAGCTCAGCCATGGCAATAAGGTGGGGGGAATTCTACTGTGTAGTGCCATTGGTGGCTCAAAATGTTATAGTGAAAGATTCCTGTGAACAACGCTTTATCACATTGCAATTTAAAATAAATTTTAACTTATCTCACTATATAATATGCATTATCAGTAAATTTAATAAATATGATATGGATGTTCTGTTTACCAAATCTAGTAAGGCAATGCATCCCCCTCAAAATAATACTGGTTTGGGGCTTCTTGTTTTGAATTTTCATCTTTTGCACATGACTAACTAATTAAAGCTTCTCCTAACCAATGATTCAAAAGTTTTTGCACACTGTAATCTCTTGTGAATGAAACTATGAGATTAATACTATAGTAGTAAAGTACATGCAAATGGCTGAGAATGGTTGCCACGACATTGTTTTGCAGATGGATAATTATGATAATTTATAATATGGGCTCTACTGGGTTTTTAAACCTGAAATTAAAATATTATTGTATAAATGCCTTCTAAGTTCATTCTAAAACACAAGTAATTCAAATATTTTGATGCAAGTATTAGTAATAATTGAATATTTCTTAAGTATCTGCATCTTCTGCCATTAAAAAAAGGGGCGTGGTCACATCCAAGCAAAGTTGGGCAGAGGGATTTACATAATATGCTGCTCAAACATATAAGATTGATTTTAATAAGACACGAAAAAATTGTGTCAATAGAACAATATGTGTTAGCTTTAATAATAATTATACATTATACACAATTAAACGTTTCGGCACATGCCTTCATCAGTACAAACAAACAAAACACATTTAAATAAGTATAAATTAAATTTACATAATATCAATATACATATCCTACCTAAAACAGAAAAAATATAGGAAGTGCCTAACTTTAGGTCTGTAAAAAAGTTTTATTTAACCAACGTGTGCTAGTTTCACAGCAGTATCGCCCAGTAAACGCCGACAATCAGGTATTGTGATTTCGTTATCAAAATATATCTTAGAGCACACATCATATTTTCTCATGAGACCCTTTTTTCCTTGAATGAATTTGAGGTCTTAACATTGAAAATGACTAAAACCTATTTTAATTTGTATCAACTTCCAAAGTTGATTTGAACAATACATGTTGATTTATAAAACATGATTACTATCTGAAAATAAATGACACACTAATTTTTGTCATTCATATGGGATTATACGTAAATTACATAATAAATTAATATATAAAATGGTAAAGTAAAAAGAATAATCAACAATTTTACCTAAACAAATCAATTAATATTTTGGGGAAATTTTAAAAAAATATATTTTGAAGAAAAAAAATTATCTGAATACCAATAGGTGTTGAGTCGGCATATTATATACATTTTTTTAAAAAAAATATTTTTATCTAATTTTATAATAAAGTTATGGGTTATAAAAAACAAAAGCGAAATATGGGTCCAAAAGTATAGAGAAACACTCTATAGTAAAAAAAAAAAAAAAAGTGGTTTGAGGTCATTACTTAAAAAATAATTCATAACTTTTATTAAAAAAAATATTTTTATCTAATTTTATAATAAAGTTATGGGTTATAAAAAAAAAAAACGAAATATGGGTCCAAAAGTATAGAGAAACACTCTATAGTAAAAAAAAAAAAAAAGTGGTTTGAGGTCATTACTTAAAAAATAATTCATAACTTTTTAACCACTTGAGATAGACAGTGTATCTTGGTGTTTTTGTAAACCATTCTCTAGGTTTTATTGACAAGTTTCCTAAGGCCAGATCTAGAACTACAAAGGTCGCAGCCATCTTTTTGAAAAATGGTCCCCAGCCTTCCTTTTTTGATATGATAAGGGGTTTTCCAGTACCTTGTTTTTTTATATCAATGTAGATTTTTTTTAGTTTAGTCAGCGCTCAATTTTTATTAGTTAAAAGTAAAAGGCTCCAGACTAAATTTAAAGAACTTAACAATTGTAATATTAATATTAAACATGCATATCGATGAGTTTTGAAATTTCCAATTTTAAAAATACGGAAACGGGGTAGCTGCTTCATGACATATCGAGGAACTTGTATCAAAATAATTATAAAATGGAACAAACTTTCATTGGGTGCCTAAAAGAATTTTTATGTTTGATATGCGATTAATGAGCAATTTTTTTTGTTAACAAAATGGGCCTTATGCTATAATAACTCTATTATAACAGGAAGTAAGCAATCATGTATGCATAAAAAGTCTATTTGAATTTTTAATTCTAAAAATACAGAAACAGGTGGATAAGCTGTAGTATTTTTATATTTTTAAAAATTATTTTGAAATTTTCACCAAAGTGCCTACAAGGGATTGCTAGGAAAGTCTCCTTTAGTCTCATTCAACCTTCTACATGCCTTGTTCTTTATTTTCTTCTGTAGTATTAGCCCAATGAATTAGATAAATTGGCTTATACTATACTAAGACTTGTACATTGTGGGCTTATTGTAACAAAGCTTGAGAAAATATAAAATATGTTAAGCAACTATAAAATGAACAATTAAACATTAAATTTTAGTTATGATTCATAATAGAAAAATTCATAAGAGCCTCTAGCTAATAGTTTCTAAACATTCTTTGTGGAATGAACTTTTTTGGTGGAGCAAGAGTGATTTAATTTATACAGAGTCAAAATGTGCATTAAAATGCACTTTTTTACAATAATAAATTTCATTCCTAATAGTAATGTTTTACAATATGTGTAACTGTCGCAGGTAATCTGGTGAAAATCATTAATTGTCCAATATTTTAAATACTCTTTGTAGTAAAACCTAATGTATTTTAAATTTTACTTTAAGTATTTATCTTATTTTCTTTTGTTATTCTACTCATCATCCAGGAGTTCTTTAATAATCTAAGATAAACCATACTATTTGTTTAAAAGTAATTAACAGTATGAATCATGATTTAATTTATACAGACTGAGTTATTCATTTTAACATATATTGTTTCATTGTGTGGTATGTTTACATCAGATCTGCTGGAAGCAATTACTTATGACTTATATGAATTACAGTTATAATTATTATTTTATGAATAATTAGTAAAAATATTGGTATGCCTACTTGATTTGATAAAACATTTACATCAAGTTCATTATTATGTATATGTTTAAATTTATATATATTTTTTTCAATAAATAATTTCAACTTCACTAAAACTGAATACAACTTCTTCTGCCTCTATAAATGTTTAAATGTTTTGGTGAGTAAACAATAAAAATTATTGTCAGTATTATTATTTTTCATTAACTTTTGAACTTTAAGCCAACTTTATATGAGCTTGCTTCAGATCTTAAACTTAAACTTTGATGAAGGCTTGTATTCCGATTTTGTTGGTATTTTAAACATATTAACACAGGATCAGACAGAGCTATGTTTCTTAATCTTTAGAAGTTAAATTTAATCATAATAACTTGAAGTTTTTAACTAATTTAAATAATTTAAAGTAATTTAAATTTGCAAAAGTTATAAATTTCTTTTAAATACCAATATCACATAAGTGCTCATGTGAAAGTTTTTTTTTTTATATATATAACTTTCTCAAATCTAAAAAGATGTCTGAAAAGTTATTTTCAGTTATTTTTTAAAATAATTTTTTAAAATATTAAATGAATTTTTGTATTTGTTCTTGTTGTTATCTATATTATAAAAATATGTAATTTTAATTTATATGAAAATCAGACAAAATAGTGATTATCTACATAAAGAAATCATCAATAACAACGGTCCTAAAATCTGCAGGGGATTAGAAATATTCAAAGTAGAAAATTTACATAGAACTCTGACAGGTCCTTCAAAAAGTTTAGTATTATGCATATTGAAGAGGAATCATTCTTCTTTGATTCTCATTGCTGTGGTTCAGAAGAAATCAAATTTGCAAGTGACTTACAATCATCTAAAGTCCAACTGACAAATACATATATAATGGCTCTTAGAGCTAAAAATAAAAATTATATTAACACTCACACTCCATCAAGTGTAGCTTAAGACACAAAAACTAATTTGTGACTCAATTAAACTAAACATTGATATTAATAATTAATTCCTAATTTAGAAAAGTACTATAACAGATAAAAGTTTTCTAAGTGTGTACTTTAAATTTAGAAATATTTATAATGGTATTGCAAAATTAAATATAACAGCATTTTTTAGGCCATCTTTCTCTGTTGCATTAATGAAATATTATATGTATTATGTTATATTCTAATTTCTTTTTTACCTCAAATTATGATTCGTCTCTTTATTGTAAATGCATTGTGAAGCCTATGCATGTTTTCATACTAAAAATTTAGGAATACGCAGCGGGACTGAAAATTAATGTATTTAATCCACATTTCCTTGAATATTAATTGAACAAAATACATGTTTCATATTGGGTTTCTACAATTTAACTTTTAAAAACAGTTTAATGTGAATTGAAATAAATAACTTTAGTGAGAAAAGGGCCTTCCCAAGTCATGGATCAAGATATGGATATATAAAACTATTCCCGCTGTGTAATAATGCCCTGCCTGTCTTTTTTCCATCTCAGTATCTACTAATTAACAGAATATCAACATTTATTTCAGGATAAAAAGATTAAAACTCAGGTAAGAATTTTTAGTTCAGCATTAAAAAATTTGCATGAGACTATGTCAATGTGCAAACCCCTTTTTAAATTGTATCTCTATAATCATTTTGGAACTCTACTTAAAAATAAAATAAATTTTAGTGACATGGCAAGGAAAAAAACTGTAAAAATACAGAACTAATTATTATCATTGACCAATTGATCAATTTATTTTTTGGAAAACCTTTTATAATTTTAAAAAATTTTAGTTGATTTTTTTTTTTTTTTTCAAATAATAATTTTCAGTTTTTTTTAAATTGTTTGCTCAAGCTTTCTGAATATTTTGTTTGCATTTTGCCATTCACTATTGTACAGCTTTTCTCTAAGCATCTGAGTTGATTAGTTCTTTCCTGCATTTGACAACACCATTTAAATTAGTTGTATTTTTTCTAAGAAAAATTGACAACCTTGATGTAGATCTCAAGTGTACCGGTAACTTTATAATAACTTTATGTTTGCAGTGCTTAGAGAGCTTACTAGAAATACAAAACAAAATAGGAGCCTCCCTGTCTGGAAAAAAAAAGGCTGCAGCTTTATATGAGAAATGTAAGCTTCACTACTTTTTTTTAAATAATGTTTTATTTAAAAAAAGCCAGAAACCTTCAATGTTCAACTTTTTATTTAAAAGTTGTTGTTTTTTTAAAAATAGTATTCTATTACTAATAACCTTTTTTTTTCACTTGACTTTCTCTAATTATATTTTTTTGTCTGTACAAGTACCAGAGCTGAGGAACTATCTTGACCATGCTTATACTGATGAGATGATGCTATCTGAAGATGCACGTATAGAAACTATACTTGCGGGTACTGTTAACTTTTTTCCCTGCAATTTCTTAATTAGAAGCTATATGTATTAATATCTATGTTTTTACTGAGTTTATGCTATAAACTTCCTTGATAAATATTAAAGATTAAGAAACAGAAAAATATATATAATAATTAAATTACCCAAAATGTTGCTGCAATAACACAATGCTTTCATGTTGTACCAAGTTGTTAAATGGTTGATGTGGGTAGGGGGGTCTGAGAGAATATGTCGATATGTTTATAAAGAATGTTTTAATTGTTTCTCAGAGCAAGAATTCTTGGAAAAGCAAGCAGCACTGTGGCAAAAATTGTCTGAAAATCAAGACCATATCAATAGTGAACACATCCAAGGTACAAATTTGTCCCAAAATGTTAAAAACTGATCAAGTGAATCTTTTCATAAAATTATAAATTAGCAAATAATTTTAAATATATGTAGGAAATGGAAATGAGTAAAACAAAATATGGTCAAACCTGAAAAAAGGAACGCAACAAAACAACGAAAGTGTCTGCAGGAAGACTTCATCAGAGAACAAACAACAGAAAAAAGAAAATGTATGCAGGAGGCAGGGGTGCCACTTTTCCGGGTTATCCCGGAATTCCGGATTCGTGAGGCTAAATATTTTTCAGTTCCGGATTCGCGAGTTTTTATATTCTCTATTTCCGGATTCGCCAGTTCAATTTATTCAAATACATATCCCGGAATTCCGGATTCGTGAGGCTAAATATTTTTCAGTTCCGGATTCGCGAGTTTTTATATTCTCTATTTCCGGATTCGCCAGTTCAATTTATTCAAATACGGATTCTGTCTGTTTTTTTTTTTTTTTAAAGAATCAACGTGCAACAGAATTCGCGAAAAACCAGGAAAATTCCTTGAAAATGGACGTTAATCGCCGATCTCGTCTATTTTTAGCCTTTCTGTTGACAGAGAGCTAGTGGTTTCCCCTTGCGCATGCGCTTTACACTACGCGTTTCGAGTACCGTACTACTTCGATAGACCAGAAATATTTATTTTCTGTTCACGTCGGCGATCAAGAGATATTTGAAGTGTTTGGGTAAGCAAAGTGTAAAATTTAGTAAATATCTTTTTAATTTAGTTTTTAATTGTTGGGTAACCATTATCATAAAAAGAAACTACTTGTCCGAGCGCTGTCTAACAAGACTAAGCTTAGCGTACTTTGTTATGTAGCTTTACCGTATGCAGGCGACTTGTATTTTTTTTTATTAGAAGAGCTAGGCGGCGTTTAACTTTTTTAAAAAGACTTCTTAAGTTCACTTTTTACTTAATTACGGAGTAAGCCTTCTCATTTTAAATATAAATAGGCTAATATGATTAAGTTATTTTTATCCGTTCTGTAGAGAGCCTGACATAACTGTATTTAGTTAGTTTTTATTTATTAGTTATGCACTCCCGTGTTCTGACTCTGGTTATACTTTACGGTAATTTGTAATTCTACTATTACTAGTATTCATAATGCTCTGTATTACCGTAGCAGTAGTGCCGTAGTTAAATACTGGTATAATATAGTCGATATTATTATTATGTATGCCTTACTATTATAAACTATAAATCTAATGAGATAATATATTTTATTTTGTTTCACTATTAAGGATCTAGGCTCAATAAAAATATGTAATGCCCAACAGTTAACAGTTCCTTTAACTTTAAAGAACTGATGGTCATTACAGTTACAGTACAGTACAGCAATTACCAATCATGATTGAATAAGCCATCAATGAATACTATGCTGGAAATATTGATATCATGTATTCAAGGGGAAAATGTCTGAGTCAATCATCTTTATCACCCATCTTAGGTGTCCACTTTTGTAACTTCTCAGGGAGATAGTATAGACACTAAAGTGTGTTGATTCAAACTATCCATTTTCATCATAAAGAAGACAACATTAACTCCATATATGAAAAGATACTTTCCACTTGTGGTAGCTATACTTTTGTTCTAAAATGCCCAGATAACTCATTGCAAAAGTTGACTTTTCAAGTCTAAGTAAATTGAAAAATTGCTATTGCTGTAAATTTAATAAATACTAATAAATGTTTACATGTATACACCTTAATTGCTTAATTTTGTTCATTTGTGATGTATCTCAATGTTTTATTTGATAATTTCAAGCTTGTTTTTATATTAATCAACAAAACGCCGCATTGCGATAATCAGGAATTTTGAGTTTCATTAAGTTTCAGGGATTGAAAAATTTGTAAATGAAGTTTCAGGTTTCAAGAAATTTGTAGAAAGGGATTTCAGGGTTCACAGCTTTCAGTGAGTGGCACCCCTGGCAGGAGGCATCTCCCCTTATTAACATTAAATATATATAGCAAAGTTTTGTAATTTATTTAGCTGATATTTAATTATGTCCTGCGCTTAAAAAATAAAATTTAAAGTTAATAAAATAATGTATGTTTTTTCAGCTGTCCCTAAATTTGCTGATAGATTACAGACTTTAAGCCAAATTCAAATTGAGCAGCAGGTAAGAGATCAGATAATTTTTTTAAATTTGAAACTCTAACTTTAACCCATTTTTATGAATTTTTGTGTGTTTAAAATGAATTTGAATTTTTGTGTATTTAAAATGAATAAACTACCAAATTAAAAAACATACTTCAACTAGATTAAATTTTGTTTCTAATTTCTTTCCTGATATGTATATAGGCACTTTACTTGTTAACTTAAATATATATTTAAAAATAAAATGAGTACAAAGAATAAATAACATGAAAACAATAGATGCTCCCCAACATTACATTAAACCAGATAAATGCATTTGACTTAGTCACACAGTGTGGGCTTTTTAAGTTACCTTATTTTTCCAAAGTCCAGTGTAAATAATTAAAATTTTTGCCAAGTACAAATTTAGTTGTTGCTAATCTGTTATTTAGAAATGTGATAAAATGTGTCAATGAGACAATTTAACCCTTTCATTACGGCTGGTTTTGTCATGGATTATTGCTGACTCAGCAATAAAAAAAACTTCAAGAAGAAACTTCCGGTATTTTTCATTCTCTATCCGATTCGCTTATTAACTTCTCTATAGATTGACTAATAAAAAAATATATAGCATTGAAATATGACGTCGGCGTGACGTCCTTAGTATTTCAGAAAAGTTCTTTGCTTCTTTGTTATGACGACATTGTGACATCCTTGGTATTTGAAAGTGGGTGATCGTGCCGTCGCGTCAATGTCATCGTTAACCAAAAGGTTAATGTGGATTTTATTACTGTCGGTAACTCAGCAATGAATTACATGACATCCTGTTCAGTGATTTTCTTATAGTCGTGAGTTTCATCATTAATTGCCTGATATGGTTATGTCTACTTATGTTTTGAAGTGTATTTGTATAATTATATATAAAAAACGTTTAATTGAATCATTACATTTAATTATTTATTTCATTGTTCTATTTATTTTCAAACTTTCAACAGGATGAAGTGGCCCAAATAACAGATGAAACTCGGAAATTGTTGAGTGCCTATAATGATGTTGTATCCTTTAAGAATTTAATTTAACTAATTATAATAAATAATAATCAAATGAAACTCGGAAATTGTTGAGTGCCCTATAATGAAGTTGAATCCTTTAAGAATTTAATTTAACCAATTATAATAAATTGTAAAAATCTTATTATTTTCTTAATAAACCCCAAAATAATATATGTTGGAAGTTAAACAATTCAAAATATTATTATAAAATTGTTTTTTAATCAAAACAATTAATTTAAAATTCTTGTTATCCTTAAATATCCTAGGTAACTCTTCTTTCCAAACAGTTTGTTCTCTGGGATGAAACTTTAACTGAACTGGAAATTCAAGCCCAGGCCAAGAAATGAATCAATCTGAACAATTTCTTTAGTAATCATTTATTTTAAGAGGAATGGTATAAAATCTAATTTCACACTTTAACTTCAAGTCCATTGATAAATTATTTGATGTAAAAACAATATTAAAGGTGCAATTTTACTAGGGGTTTTATCTGCATTAATCGCTACTTGACATTTCATTGTTTTCCTACTTTTTTTCGTAACTTGTTTCAGTTATCTCAAGTTGTGGTATATTGCACCCAATGGACTAAAAAAAAAAGCTGCAATTTTAGAATATTTTAAAACATTAATTTTAATTTCCCTAAATTCATTAGTGTTATTCTGAACATTTTGCATTTTAACTCTCTGGTTACAACTGACCTACTAGAATCTGAGACTTAGAAGTTGATGTTTGACAACTGAATCCTTGAATTATGCTTAGATCATCGTTAGCCCTTAAGATCTCAAAGATGTTACCCAAAAATTGTTTCACAGCTTTGTGGTAAAAAGCTATATTCTTAATTATATAATTTGTTAGATTTGCAAAACAATTAAGAAAATTATGTGCAGCAAAAGTAAATCTTTAAAGTTATGTAGTTTATCTTTAATTTATAAGAATTCCTTTGTATAATTTAAATATGTTCTTATCTATGTGCAATACATTTAGCTGAAATAAAGAGGTTATGGAAATAATCTAGTTGACTTTCTGGATGAAAAATAAGCTTTGCCTTATGATGTTTTGTGATCATAATTTTATTTTTTTACTTAAATTCTCTGCAATAATTTAAAAATAATCATGCATGGGGACTTAATTCAACCATCCACCTCTTAATCACCATCATTTATTGTGAGTTCAAAACTAATTTATAATTGATCATTAAAAAATTTTAATTGATGTGTTTTGACAGTGGAAAAAGAAAATTACACATTTTGTGTGAATTTTTTTTTTTAACTCCTTACACTAGATTTTACAAAAACCATAAGATCAGTTTGAAAAAATTGTAATTTTGCAAGCACTTTATTTGTCTTTGTTTCCATATAAAATTAACAGACATAAATAAATAACATTTGAATCATCTTGGAAAAAGATGAAACATTTTTTATAGGATACAAAACAGCTTTGTGATTTTTCAAGTGTTATTTCTTTTTCTAATAATCCTTAGAAATGATTTGATTGAAACAATAACACAGAGATATATCTTTTATTTTACAATTAAGTATACATGTTTCCCATCATTAATTAGGGGTCTGTTTTTATAACATAATTGTAAACTGCTCCATTTAGTCAATTATGTTAATAGGTACACTGATTAAAAATGTTTGTAATAAAAACAGTACATCTTTAAATTTTGTTTTCAAGTTATACAAAAACTGACAAAAATTATAATAGAGACAGTATATTTTAATCGGTCTTAAAACAAAAAATGCACCTAATATTTCATATATTTAAAAAGATATTTTTAATTGAAAATGTGTATTCCCCAGTTAACCCAGTACACGCATACCCCACATGTTGTTAACCTGTGAATACAAATTCTTTTATTAAAAAGCAGATCTCCTAATAGTGGGAATTTCGCCATTTATTAAGGTTTATCAGTATGTTATTTCTTTAATATAAATGATGATAGTGAAAAAAATGGTTCAAATAAAAATACATTTAAAATTAAATACAAAACATAGAAATATTAATATGCAAAAAAGACTAAGGATTTAAAATCAAATCATAATAATTTTACAAATTAAAAACTAGATTTTTAACACATCAAACAAAAAATATATAGATATATTATATAACATCTTCAATTGCTTAGATTAATCAAAATCTGTCCAACAAACATTATGTTTTAAGTATCATATTTTGATGAGAATGAAGAATGAAACAAGAAGAAAAAAAAAACAAACAAAAGGTTTTGAATCTGACTCATCAAGATATAAAAACAAAGTTCTTGTATAATAATATTAGTTATTTATCATAATCATTCATAGACTGGTAGTACTAGTTGTGCCATTTCCTTTTTTAAGAATTGTAAAACTTTTTTAACAATTCTGACTCAAAATTATTATAATCATGACTTAGAATGCAGACATATTTTTATACATTTGGAAATTTTTAATAGCATTTTTAAAAAACTTTCATTTTCAGTTAAACTTTATTTTTGAAATGACTTCAATAATACAGGTACATACATTGAAATTCATTCTAAATGATTATGTTAAGATGACAATAAATTACATAATGGCAATTTATTTTTTAATGTAAGTAATTAAAAATCCAATATAATTTTACTGTAATCACCCTTTAAAAAGAAAAGATAGCTAAATAATTAGGGAAACATAATTTTTTTTTTCAAGACAAATTAGTTTTTAATCAAATTTCAGCAGTTTTGAAAATAATTTAAGAAATGGACAAAAATAAAAATAACTCCTTGGTCATAGAATATTAACATTAAGGTATCTTTAGAGATTTTTTTTTTAATTTCTCAAACCTCAAATGTTGTATGGGCTAACATTATTATTTGTAAAAATTGTTGGTGAAGAATAATTACAAGAAAATTTAAAATCCCAGTTTAGGCTACTCATTGAAATTTTGATTGACTGATTACACGATGTTAAGTTAGACACCATTTGATAAACACATTGATTTGGGATGTGGTACTAGGAAATTAATTGGAACAAGAATTTTCAAAATTGTACAATATTAGGTGTTCTTATGTCATATGGCTTTTCTTTTTAAAAAAAGCCATCACATTTATGCACAGAAGTGGACTTAAAAAGTATATTAATATTAACATGACCTTTCACAAATCCTAAAAATCTATATCACGGATGCTTCAAATGGAGATACCACACAGATTACAACAAAAAAAAATAATCAAATGGTTATTAATTTATTTGCTAACTTGCACTGCATTAATAAATATATTATTTTTTATATCTCCTATGTTCTTTGGTAGGGACAACTGTGAAGGTTATTCAAATGCAGCAGTAAAACTTATACTGCCATCTTTAGATTTTATCTTATTAGAGCTTACACTTACTGAGATGCTTGTTATAGCATTCTGAATTGCCATTCTGCGAAAGTGTATTTTTTATGCCTAAAATTCAGACTTTTGAAAATAGGCAAAGACAATCATAAGAGGCACGGTAGTGGCACATAAGCATTTGGATATATAAGTTACTGCTCATGACATATATAACGTTCATTTAGTTTATGAACATTTTATAAAATTAATCAATGACATACAGTAAAAGAAAATGAATGCTAGTTAAGGGTTAAAAAAACACTTAATATTTTCTGTATAATTAGTGTCTTGGTCTTAGTAAGCCCAGGTCTGTGATTTGATTGGTGAATGCTTTGAAATACATCCTTAACAGTTCTTGGTGAACTGGTAACAACTGAACTTATTCAAATTAACGGAAAAAAATTTCGGGGATTGTGTACATGTATTTAATTCACAAAGAAATACATTTTTAGCAATGTGTATTCATAAAGAGGCCCCAAGACCTTTACCTTTGTTGACCTCAATTTATAAAATGTTATTCAAAATGCATGTTTTTAAAAATTAAAAAACACTTGTGGTATTCCAGAAATCACATTGCAAATTCATTTGGAGAAAATGGTTAAGATTTCTATATGATTAAACTGCCTATGCACTAAAGAAATTATGAAGTTTAACCTTCCAAAAGGAACAGTTGAGGCGACAACACTTGTCACATTTGCATCTATTGTCTCTGGCCTTCCAACCCCCAGTGCATGATACCATCACTAAGTAGCCACCAGTGAAATATCCTCGCCAACACCAGGCACAGAAACATAGCAAAACCCCTCTACATGCATAGGAGCCAGAATGATCGTGGGCCCTTAATATAAAGAAGAAGAACCTTTATCCCTGGGTTGAAAGTGCAATTAACCAGATTTATCTTGGAAGTAGCTAAGAACAATTCTTAAATACTTTCTAGAAAATAAAATCATGAAACAAAAAATGTTATGGTAAATTTTTGTTTTAAAACAGTGATCTTGTAATAATTAAGGCATAGTATTTTTTTAAAAATCCAGTACTACAGAAAAATTATAATGACATATCACAATCTTGAAACTACTGTAGCACTTTCTTCATCCAATAAAACTTTCAATGAGTCCAGAGAATTGCATATTGCATCTGCAAATCCAAAACTATTTGTATTTTTGTCAGCATTCCATGTCGAAACAAAAAATGACAACCTGTAATATAAAATGAGTAACTAGATAGATTTTCTCACACAAATTTGTAAATGGTCAGTCAAATTCTTTATATATCATGTTTTATTTGTGATCAAATAAGTTGTATTTTTTAGTTAAATTTATTAAATAATTTATTAGTGTCAAATTTTGTGTTCACTTCAAAATTAAATGTCCATCATTCAACCACTATGGCAAGACTTTATGGCGAGACAACAATCTGCTTACCTCTCATCATTAATGCGATAAAAAGCACCAATACCATTCTCACACATGGGCATGACACCACCAATCACTGATGTAAATCCTATACAGCTGGTAGATAATATAAAATTGCCACCACCACCACTGTAAAAAGTTGAATTTATTGGTAGTAGTTTTTAAAAACATAGAGATTAATAAAGTCATATGTATCAATTTTTTTTTAATGTCTTTTCTAAATATATATATATACATCACAAAGCTAACAGTTTGGTCTTCCTTAGAGAAAAATTTATTTGGAAATAACTTGAATTTCTAAATCTGAAAAACTGATTTTATTAAAGATTTCCTGTACCGTAGCTAGATTTCCATGTTTGAAAGTTTTATTACCTCTTGCTATAGGATGGATCCTGATACAACAATGGAACTGGTCTGCCTTCTTCTTGGGCCACAAGGTATAATGCCAGCAAATGGCGGTCACAAGCTTAAAGTGATTAGTGTTCATTTTCATCATAAAATTATTAAATGGCATTAAAAAATTTTAACTATTAGTAGGTATTCATGAATTATTGTGCACATAAATAAATACAGTTTTAAAAAAAGGATGCAAATGAGCTGACTGGACATTGTAATATTAATTTGATATTTTTTTAACATTTTTAAACCATAATTAATTTTAAATAATTTACATACATAAAACATGTAACAAAATGTTTCAAATAATAAGTAACATGCACTATGCTTGTTAAAGTTATAGGAAATAATTAAATGCATACTTCAAAGAACTCTTAACATCATAAATAAGCCGTTTTCCAGATTTTTTTAGAATTAATATGATTATAATCATTTTGAAGTTTCAAAAAAACTGTCTTGCAATAATTACCTTTAAATTCACAAGCATCAGAAAAATCATTATTATGCTTCTTTAATGCTGATAAAAAGAGCTTGCAACGCTCAGAATTCTGAAAATAAAAAAGGAGACAAAATTTACTGCCAGAATTTTCAATTTTACGAATTTAAAAGAAAGCCATACATTTTAATTGGTGCCGGTATTCATCATATTGAAAAAATGACAAACAGGCAGTTCTAAATTAATGAACAAGTTATGTTCCTAGTAGAAGTCGTTCAATGTATGTTTTGCTAGTTTTTCCCCAAACCACCTCAATATGCACTATTTGCGTTTACAATTCAATATTTTATTAAGAGAAAACAAGATACAATAGTAATTAGTTAATTTTAATTAAAATTTTAACAAAATTATATATTAATAAAATCTTTAAACTGTGATGTTCGTTATAGTTGAGTTTGGTAAATCCAGAACTGTTTGTATTTATGTTTAGAAATTTTAGTTCTCAGTTGAAAGTATTATATAGTTAAACTATTTTGGCTATGGTGGTAAGATGCTTAGAAATCTACCTTCACAGTGGGATCCATCATAGCCTTGCACCAAGTTTGAGCTTCTTTTGTACATGTTCTCATAGTTTCTGTACGTCCATGGTAAAACTGTTTGATAGGAGCCGTTTCATAAGTTGGGGCCATTCTTTTTTTCAAAAAAAGCAGGAATGTATTTGATTATATTTCATAAGAGGTAATTTTATATCATCATAGAAAATACTTTTTGCACTCCACAAAGACTTACATTACATATCAAAATAGTATTTATATATCTTTTTCACATCCACCATTTATACTTATCCATAATTCAGTATGTGTTTAAGAATCATATGATTAGGGATTAATATTTTTTCCATATACATTTGTTGTTATGCTGATAAAGGCCCTCAGTTACAGTGAGGTTTAGCCTCACTTACTTTCCATAAGTTCTATAATAAGCTAATTGCATAGCAAGTTGGCAGAGTGCATCTGGATGTATATTCTTTCCTTTGCAGTATTTTTTCCCATACTTTGTATAAGCTCTTATTTCAACAGTTGCTACTTGGCTCTAAAAAGAAAAGAAAAAAAATCAATAGAAAGTTATCGTTGTTAAAATAAAAAAAAAAAAAGAGAAAATTTGACTCTTATTACACAACTTTAATAAATAGTACAGGAAGTGGATTATCTAATTTAATTATTATTTTTTTTAAGCAAGCTGTAGGTCTATTTTTCATGTACTTAGGAGTAACTAATGACTTACCAAAGCAGCATAGTTTTTCCTAGCAACCTCAACATCATTTCTAAGGCTATCATCAAGAATAAACTCGATCAGTTCAGGTTTTTCTAATGGTCTGATTTGGTTATTACCCTGTTAGAACAAAAGATTACATGTTTCTAATACATCTATAAGTCTGTAAGATATAATTCAAATGCTGCTGATTTAATACTATTAAACAATGTTAACTCCTAAAGTTATTGCTAACGGTTTTACATAATTTACACAACTAATTACCTGCCATTTTCCTTGGCATTCTAAAAGCTTTAAATGCACATAGCTTGTCACTTGAACCAGCATAATACCTTCTGCAGGAGTGTGCTGAAAATTTATCATTGACTAGAATTAAAAACAAATAGATAAACATTTAAATTTGTAAATAAATTCTATTACAACTTATTTGGTTTTCAATGGCACTTTGAACAGTTTGCGCTTTATTGTAAGCCTCTTTCTATTAAACAAAAACAAATTCATGTTTTCTTCTGAAATTTCAGTTAAGTTTCATGCATGCAAGGGAAAAGAAATCCATGCTAAGATGCAAACCATTTAGCTTCACAAAATAGTGCTTCTTTTCATTTATTCTCAATCTGAAAGGCAGTTGCTTGAAGTTTTAAATATCAAAAGCGTCTACAAAAAAATCATTTCATATTAAAACCGATCTATTTCTTTTATCTAGTTAAGAACCACTTACATCTGCATTTGAAACAAACAATCCATTTTCATAGACACCACTAGACAAAGATTTGTCATGCCACCTATTCTCCCCACTGCCCATCAAAGATTTGTTTGCTAGCTGAATAAAGGTGTATATCATTTTAGGAAACAGCAAATTCTATAAAATTGTAAGTACAATATAAGAAAAATATAAAATGAAACAAAATGAAAGCCAACAGTGATGGTTTTATTAAAAATATATAGCCCATTTTAATCATGGTAACTAACAAAAGTGTTGCTAATGTAAGCCTAAAATTTAATAAATTCATACAGTAATTAAAAATACCATAATCTTTTCATTCTGCTTATAGTTTTACAACTTTAAAATAACCAAAGCATGACTATTACTGTATATTCTATTTCTAAAGCCGACATTTTTTGTGGGATGGCTTATGAGCGGGTCGAGGTTTTTTTTTAAATTTTCTCAAGTACATTGAATAATGAAATTATTATTGTAGATCACAGAGGTCATAGTCCACTTTACATCCTACAAGATTCAAATATGTTACTAGAACTAGAAGCTTTAAATATTAATAAAACAGACAAGGAAGTACATGGCTGGCGCCACAGTTCAAATAACATAACGATAGTGGATAATAGTTGATTATAAGAAACACAAGGCTTGACTTAATATTTCATCCTAAATATTCTTTGGTACCATATTGCTTACAATGGTCTCCATTTTATGAAAACGCCTTAACTTATGAGTAGGTTATACACTTTTCTGTCAAAAACTAGGAGAGATGGTTCATGAGGCTGTAGATTGAGTATCTACGATAGTTTGAATTCTTGCAGGCTGTATTTATGAAAGACTTGATGATATTGTTAACCAAAATGCAATTTTAAAAGGGAGTTTTGACCAGTATTGTGCACAGATACTGATCGTCCATTGACAGCCTCCCAAGGTAGCGGATATGGGAAAGTCCAACAGATATGGCGTTACTGGGTAAATAAAATACCCCGGGTGAACAAAAATCAGAACCTACTGCCTTGTAAAAAATAAATGGATTCACAAAGGCTAGGAAACCTTACCCGAAAATTAAGACAGCTACCTAGAGAGCTGTAAGGGGCAGCCCCCCACCCTTACCACCCCCTACCCCAGAAGGTTGTGCACAGGGCTAAAAACCCAGGCCATGTAAAAAAAAATATAAACATCACAAAAGCCAAACAACAAAATAAACCAGGATTGATACTATTGGAAATCGACCTATGACTGGATATGGACATGATTTTTGGATTACGACTTGGAATGTAATAAGTCTGTTAAGAGCAGGAGCTGTAGCCATCCTAAAACATCGACTAACTAAATATAAAATCTATATTGCTGAATTGCAAGAAATACGATGGGGGGAAAATGCAGACGTCCTCAGGAAAAAAGACTTCACCATATTTTATAGTGGTAACAACACTAACACTCCTGGAACAGGATTTGCTGTGAAGAAAGAAGCCCTCGAAGCAGTCATAGGTTTTAAACCAGAGAATGAAAGATGTGCTCTTTGCATGTGCACAGGAAAATGTTTAAAATAACATTTATAAATGTTCATGCTCCCACTGAAGAAACAGAAGATAAGATAAAAGAATGCTTTTACAGACACTGGAAAAGATCTATGATGAGGCATTAAGACATGATATAAAAATAGTGATTGGCGACTTTAATGCCAAAATTGGGAAAGAAAAAACCTAATGGCAACAATTGGGAAGGAGAGTCCACATGAAGAATGCAATGACAATGGAATCCGACTCATAGACTTTGCTTCAGGAAAATGGATGACAGATAGTAGCACCAAGTTTCCACACAAAAAAAATAAACTTGGGGATCACCAGAGGGAATCACTCAGCTATGCTATTAAAAGCATCAGCAGCAAAAGTAGTAGGATTTCAGCAATCTAACAGCAAAGTTTGATAATGAATGCAGAGAGAATGTCGAAGAGAGGAATAAGGCACGAATGACCATGATACAAAGAGAAACCAGAAATATAGGACAAATATACAATGAAGCAAGAAAGAAAGCCATGAAAATGTGAGAGAAGAAAAAAAAATGAATTGGGAAAAAGCTAAACTAAAAGAAATAGAAGCCTTATCAAGAGGGAGAAATTATCATAGTAATGTACATGAAGATAAAAGGCGGAAAGGATGGATACCAAGCCAGACCTCAAATGTGTGAGAGCAAAGATGGAGAATTAAGTACTTAAAATAGTAAAGAACTGCAGAGGTGGGCTAAACATTCTGAGGGCATACTAAATGCAGAAAATGGCCAAGATGAAGATGATCAACAAAGCCCCTGGAGAAGACCTAATGACAGCAGAAGTTATTAATGGAGGAAGAGAACTACACACTCAGACACATAAATTTATACCGTAACTAAAATTTGGCAAGAAGAGAAAATTTTAACAGAATGGGAAACACCACTAATAACCCCAATACACAAGAAAGGTTCAAAACTTCAACTCACACACTTTCAGAGGAATTTCCCTATTAAATGTTACATACAAAATGCTGACTAAACTAATTGCCAAAGGACTACAACCGTACACTGAACAAATACTAGGTGACTACCAACATGGATTCAGAAAAAACATATAAATGATTTATCAGATTTTCACCAACGATCAGATGCCTATATGAGAAATGTTAAGAATATAAAATCCCAGTACATCAACGCTATGTGGACTATAAAATGGCTTATGACAGGATCAAAAGAATATATCTATATGAGACTCTGTAGGAGTTAGGCATACCCAACAAACTGACAAGACTGAAACATATAACAGTAAACAACTCAAAAAGCAAAAAGCAAGGATCAGGGTGAATATTATTGGGAATTTCAGATTAGATGAGGCTTAAGACAAGGAGGTAGAAGATCAAGGCAAATGGAAGCTAGAAATAGAAAGATGGATTTCAGCTAAGAGCCTTCTTCAGCAGACAGGACAAATAAAAAAATAACAAGAAACAGAAAGTATTTAAAAAACTGAAGTGTTTGCCTGGAAACTTCTGGCAATAACATAAATATGGCGAACACTTAACTATATATAAAACTGTAACAGTTATAACATATGCAAATGAAACTTGGACCCTAAAAAAAACAACAGAAAACCAATTGAACTCATGGGAGGGAAAAGTTCTCAGGAAAATATATGGATCAACAAAGGATGAATTTGGATGGAGAATACTAACCAACCAGGAATTGTATAGACTATTTCAGGGTGCCACACTAGTAGTAGAAAAATAAAAAAGGGCAGGCTATGTGGACAAGTCACTTAGAAAGAATGCCAAATGACAGAGGAGTGAAGAGGTTACATCACTAAAACCCCAGAGGAAAATGGCTCAAAAGCAGACCTAGAGCGATGCTAGGCTTAGATGGATGGATGATTTTGGAAAAGATCTACAGCAGCTGGGAATCCAAGCTTAGAAAAGAAACGTATTAGATAGGTCTGAATGGAAGGAAGAGCTGAGGCAGATCAAAGCCCTACATGTATTCCTACTGGGATTGTTTCGAACAATAGCCTTGTATAAGCTCTTAAGTGCTAAATAGTTATGGACCATTTTAAAAAAAAAAAAAAAAGGGTTATGCCACTAGGAAAGCGTTTTATAAATAAACAATTAAAAAACATATAATATATTTAATATAAATGGTTTTATTTAAATTAATTCAATTACTTTGATGGACTTACATCACTCATATCCCCAGCATCACCATCCTCAAGCCAGAATGCCATGATTGAGCTTTGAATTTTTTCCAGATTTTCATAATTTTTGGGGTTGAGAGCAACCAATCTACTTCTAGCCTTTCAGAAGATAAAACATAATATGGTATCATTAGTGATCAATTGTGAAATTTAAACATTGCAATTTCTAGAGAAGATAATTCCAAATTCATTGAACACTAGTTTTCCAGCACTATACCTGTGCCCATTTTGTTCTTTCTTCTGCAGTCAAGTAAGTTAGGCCATGACTGGCACCTAATTCAAGGCTGCGATCTTTAATTTGTTGCAACAAGGATTGCAACTCTGGGGGAGTCAGGATCTCTCCGTTTCCATCAACTACATCAATGCTAAAAATGTGTCCCTTTGATATAATGATCAGATGTGATGGACAGTCTCCTTCATCCTCTGTCGGAATGATAAGCAAATAAAATGTAAACAGGTAGGAGGATTTAGTCATTGTTATTAAAATTTTCAGTCATAAAGTAAAGCCCATGAACAATGTAAAACACTCAGGCGGCCACTTAACTTTGTATTTCTTGAGGCCTCAAATATCATTATGCACACTATCTGTTTATGTATGTATATTATCTATATGAAATTTAATCATTATGAAAATCATTTAATTCCAATGGTGGAGAGCTAAATGAGAGATGATCGGATAATAACAAAAGAATAATTATCACCAACATTAAAATTGTGTGCACTATCTTTGGCCTATCTTATCAGAATTAAACCCATCAAGCAATCATTTGATGGTTCAGCTTTACTAACTGTTAAAGCTGACATTCTGAAGTGATTGCTGCAACACTATGGGATTCTGTATGGAGACAAGCAAAAAGCCAAAGAGGTCTATGTATCAAAAATCACAAAACAAGAGATACAACTAGAGCAAGATGACCCCCTGACACACCTAGTAATCCAAACTCATAAGACATTAAGGCCAAGCTGCTTAGGGACTGAGTGGAGTTTTTCTTTGAATTCACAAGTTTTGTAGCACACACAAAATATTTGCAAAATGATATATAAAGATATAAAAAAGACTCTTTTCCTGTTTGGATACTCACTAGTAATTGTTGTGCACCAAATATTGTGTTTACTTGTATGCAGTGTGTCTTGTATGTTGGTATAGTTAAGGAACACTTTTGTCTCATTCGGCTTGTGAATATTATAACATAATTTTATTGTAGCTATGAGTAGTGTTGATGGTCTGTCTTTTGTGTATGTGCTGTTCATTTGGCAACTGGTGTCCGAGCATGGTGGTAGAAGGCTGTACTATATTCTTCTACTTATAGCAGGATGCACTTAAATGTGTTTGATTCTTTGTAAAACCTAATATATATGTTTATGGATTGAAGTTTACAATGCTCTTGGGAAAAGACCTTGTTTTCAGTTACAAGTGTTTACAATGTAAGCATGTGTAAATGAATTTGATGCAAGAAACCAATATGAATCAGGACATTAAATAAACTTTCATATATTTACCAGTTTTGAAGTAATGGATCAGTTTGTCTTTTTTAACACCAGGAACTGCAGATGTATTGAAAATTCTTTTAAACTGATACATGCATTGAGGTCTCCCTTTACCATCCTTTACTGGCTTATGTTGTTGTCTGAAGTGGCATTGGAGAAATTGTTTAAATGAACAAAATAATAAGGCATTTTCATTTTTTACAATAGCATACTTAAATTCATTAATTAATAGGGTTCGTTATTTAATGGGAGAAATTTATTAACAGAACAACAGTTGAGAGACTGGCCTAATGGAATATTTGGATGTATGCTAAAATACATTGTTAAATGAAAATATTGTAAAATAAAAATAATAACATTACGTAATGCCCTGTGACATTTCACAACCTGAGAAAATAACAATGTCTAAATAAATCTAATTTTTCATGTGGATTTTAGTTAATTGAAGTATTCAGCCAAAAGATAGTGGGCTGTAAATAAATCAGAGCTTACTTTCTAATGAGTTGCCAAAACTTGAGAATATAGTACATAGACAGAGCTGTCCGAGGAATCTGTGACCCTGGCATTGGTGGCCATACATCATCAGAATATGGGGCTGGGCCCCCCATATTCATCAAAGGTCTCTGTAGTCTTAATTCCAAATAAGCAACATCTTCCCACCATTCCTCGAGCTAAAAAGATTATGAAAATGATATAATCATGACAATTTAAGAGAATATTTTAACTTTAGTAAAAATATGTCTCATCAAAATATTTTTTTTAAGGATGTTTTGCATAATTGTAGTTGTAGCAATTAAGTAAAAATTTACTACCGGTACTTGTCAAACAATTGTTGGTGGATAGAAAAGTGTTTCACCTGGAAGTCACATGATTTTTTTAAATTTTGGCCCTCTACCCACTATAGTACAATTGGTGGCATAAGCTTAAACCTGCCCCGTCTATTTGATTAACAACTCTCTTATCCCCATCCTGATTTTCTACACAATTTCGATTAAATATTTATTTTCATAGGTTTTATGTAAATATTTTTTTTAAATAGAAACAGCAAAAACTATCTAATACCAGTAACTTCAATTTCTTTTGTGCCTCATGAACCTATGAAAATATTAATGTTACAATTTTTTAAAATTAAAGGTTGAGATTTTATTTTAAAATAATATTTATAGATTCAATACCACTTGATAATTTATGTAAGTCTATTTATCCATGGCTAAAGAGTTGAACAAGTAAAAGCTGAAATTTAATCAGATGATCACAGAATTTCATTGACTTTTATTTAGAAAAGAAACTGAGAGTTAAATATAGATTGTTTACATCATTCTTTAAAATAATATTCTGAATTAAGCATTGTAAAATTGTAAGGTTTTGAAGACAGTAAAGAGGGCAGAAGAAAATGAGAGTACAGTATGTGCTCTGAACACTAATATTGCTTGTATGATTACATATTCCTTCTTTACCTATTCTCACTTTTTATAAATAATAACTGTAAGACAAAATATATATGCAAATGCATCAGAAGTAATTATGTTTAGGACATGTATTTTTTAATTACCCAATTTCTCTTATTCTTTGATTTTTCTTTGAGCCTCTCATGCAGGTATTTGCCTTCCCCTAAGGCAAATTTCTGTACAATAAATTCTGTCTTTTGAAACTCTTCTTCTGTTACCAATTCACGAACTTAATATTTGGTGAAATAAAAAAAACAAATAGTAAAATACTTTTAATATATAGTACACATTGTGCTACAAAATAAACCAAAATCAGTTATGTATATCCTTTTTAATATTAATTTATTTATATATACTTAATTTCATTTTCTTATATATAGTTTTGTCTAGAATAGTGGTTCTCAATGCGTAATTCTTGGAGCCACAAAAAAAAACAACAACTAACATTGAGAAGCAAAGAGAATTCTCAGTGGGCCAAGAAAATTCACTTCAACCATATTAGTGGAACTAACTTTCTAACTTTTATTGATCTTATTTTATTACCAATAGTAGTGACATTATAAAATTTATATTTATCAATAACAAATTAAATTATACATTTAAAACACAACATTTCTTAAATATAACAAATCAAGCTAGATTTGAAACCAAGTAGCATAATTTCTGGATATCCACTGAAATTGCTTACAAGTTTCGCCTGCTTTGGGGAAAAGGCAAAAAAAGAAATTTATGGCATTTCCTACTTCATATTTTAATGGAATCTGGTTTTAGTTGAGTTATCCATTCAAAAACATGTTCATTTTCATCCTCCACCAGGATCTAAATTTTAGCTTAAATTGAAATATTATTTAAATCTAAAAATTATTAGTACTAATATAGGCTGACCAAATCATGAACTGGAAAAAACGGGACTTTCGAAACTTTATTGAAATATGCTCATTTTAACTATGAAATCTAACCTAGAAATCTACTTGAGGCACTCAATCTTTTCCTATGTCATATGTTTCACTGATGTGATGTGTTTTTCATGTCTGAATGTTCACCATGACCAATACTAAAAACAGTATTACAAACTGTGCACTCGGCTTCACTGTCATAGCGTCCCTTTTTAATATAGTTCCCTTCTTTGGAATACTCCTCCATAAACTTACATTGACGCTTGGGCATAATTATTGTCTACATGAGAAAATAATATAAAATTAAAGAATAAAGAATAAACACATAAAACAAACACCTGTCACTCTGACATGAACAGGCCGGCAGGGATCACACATAAGACTGACACATTACACGTAGCTGTAGCCGAATCAAAATTGGTTTCTGCGAAGTTCACCCCCCCCCCCCCCCCGGCTTCTAGTCTCGTATCTTTTGCTATACATTTACATATGAGATCTATGGCAGGGACACTGTGGTGGAGGGGGGAACAGTGCAGCCATCTCGTGAGCCCACATCACTACTGACACTGGCTACACAGCTAGCCAAAATATTGCTTGAAGTTATATTATAAATTAGGAAGTTTTAATGATTAGAAAATATGTTTGGTTTAAAAAACGGGACATTTAGGCGTCCCGAAAGACTTTTTCGGGACAACAGGTACGATTGTGAAAAAACGGGATAATCCCGTTTGTACGGGACGTTTGGTCACCCTATACTAATAACAGGATAGAATAATTATATGTGAAGTAATGTTTTTTAATGGTTCATATCCTGCATATTTACAATACATATTTTAACTAAAAGATTTTATGATAGTAAAAAGATGATTTTGAAAAAAATTTTATAGCAGATATGTGGGCCACGGAAGTAAACAACATCTCAAAGTTGTACATGAGTACGAAAAGGTTTAAGGAACCCTGGTCTAAAACAATCATAAAAAATAAATGAAATTTGTTTGTGTCTGTAATACTTTACCTGATTCTAAATATTTCCTTAAAGTATTAGACAAGTCTGGAACAGGAAGGGTGAGGAGATCTTTTTCATATTGGAAAGAAGTTTCTGATTTTGAAATTATAGTATCATCTATTCCGGGCATTTTAAAGAAGGCTGTGAAGTTTAAAAATGAAGGATTTATACAATATGTATTAGTATGCAATATTATGTCTATGTCATTTACAATTATTAACCTTAACCAGGTTGTTGCAGTGTGTGTGCAACTTAAATATCTCTATTATCTCTAGAATTTAACTTGAATATCTCTAATATATCTGTAGTCAAATGAATGTCACAAGTCAAAGCAAAAGTAGTAGTAGAATATGGGAAAAAAAAACTGCATCGCTTCCCTCTATGCTAGGTTCAGGTGAAAGAGAGATTGTCATTTGACTAAGAGATGACTTCTGTTGTTCTTGTACATTTTCAATAAATAATTTCTTGGGAAACCTCGTAAATTACAAGTTATGCTATGTCTTGCTGGAAAGGGGATTTTATGCTCTTTAATTTGATTTAATTACATGTCTCCACCTTTAAGAGGATATTTTAAAATGAAGGAATTAAGAATGTTTTCACATTCCTCCATGGGAGGGGGGGTGGGTAACAACCAGTTCTCCTTACTATACTATATATCAGAGACCATTTAACCAATTTAAAAATAAAAGTTTATCTCAGAAAGCTGAGACTAAGACTAAACATTGTGTCATTGTGACATCTGAGTTAGGCCTTATTCCTATGTTGAATAATTTAATTCAGTGGCTAATTTCCATTTAGTGTGCCACTTGTTTTTGTGCAGGATTGTGTGGCATTCTCACCCTTATAAATTATATTTATATGTATTATAATTATGTTTATAACTTGGATTATTACTGTGGGAAATGATTGGCGCACAGAATGTAAATGTACTAAATTAGGGCCTGCTTACTAGACCTGGGCCTTCTCATTCTCTCAACTTTTACTTAATTACTTTTAGGTCTATTACTTTACTTGTATTTGTAACATTTTTAGATATTCCACTTAGAAGACTTTCCAACTTTTTCCAACTTAGCCTATTAAAGTTGTTCAAATTAGGCTATACTATTACTATTAATAGGAATTAGGAGCAGTAGAGACTTAGACCTAGAGAGTTAGACTGTCTATATAATTTATATTTATGAGTTAAGTAGGCCTTTTCCTACTACTAATACTATAGTATAGTACTAGCTAGGCTACAACTACTTACTTTCTAGACTGAACTTTCTTATACTTTTTTTTAGTTCATAGTCAAAAATACAATTTTAATATTTTATATTAAAATGAAAGCCTAAAGTTAAGGCAGGCTAACTAACTAAACTAACTTTTAACAATGAACACTTCAGTTTCAGATCACTTCTACTAGATACTTTGGTCAAAAATGTAAACATTTTTTAAAAATAAACCAATGGCACAGTTGAATAGAGCTAATTTTAAACATAATTATAACACCAAAATCATATTTTTAGCTGTTGTAGTTTTAAAGTTATGAATTTTTAAAGTACGACTTGGTTTGTCATTTTTTAACATAGACTGCATCTCCACATTCTGTGACCTCATTCCGCTGATCGCGTCATGCGCAATGACTATATAGTTTATATAAGGCAAAGCATTCCCTTATCACTAAAATACTGTTTAGGGTCGACTTATTTTAAACTTTCAACTTTGGCACATGAATAATTAATAAAAGCTTTCCCTGACCAATGGTTTAATAGCTTTTGCACACGGCAAACTCTTATGAATGAAACTCTGAGATAGTACTACGACGTAGCCGTTATGCAAGTGGCTGTGAATGGTTGCCAATGACAATGTGTTGCACAGGGAAAATTCTGATCATTTATAATATGGACTCTGCAGGGTTTTTAAAGCTCAAATTAAAACATTTCCAGTTTAAATGTCTTCAAAATGCATTCTGAAACACAAAATATAAAATATTTTGATGTATATAGTGGTAATAATTAAATATTTCCTAAGTATCGGCAACTTCCGCCATTAAAAAGGGGGCGTGGCCCAAGCCATGTCGAAATTAGGCTGAGCCACCTAATGGTGATATGGGTCACTGTGACAAGTGTAACAAACGTGGGACACGACCTACATCAATGAAACTTGGCACAGATATAGATCAATATCTAATGCTCATACAGATTTAATCAAAAAGGGCCTTATCTTATTATTTCACAAAAAATTTTGTATGCGAAGATGCCTTATATATACCAAAGATTTTCAAAATAAAGGTCGATTGAAAAAAGCAAAATAGCTGGCTAGAAATGTAGGCCAAGATGTCTTCCAAATTATAAGGCCGGAAACGGAACTCAAATATATGTGGAAAGAACTAATTTAATAATAAATAGACACACACATCGGAAAATTAAAAACTCGGATTTTTCGGCGCCGACGCCCATTTCCGATACAAAAAAAATAGTAGTCTCCCTTCTTTCATCGAAGTATCTACTTCTACTAAGGGACACTAAGGCCTAAGGCATACTTTATAGTTTATAGGTAGGACTATTATAAACAAGGTTAATTAATTTAAATTTAAGGGTTTTTTTTTTTTACCTCTGCCTTTAAATTAATTTGTTTAAATTTAAGTTGCCAACTAAATGTCTAAATAATACTCAATTTTACACAAATCTCATTTCGCCCCAAAACGGTGAAAATTGGAAAAAATTAGTACATTTTATATGTACAGAATCACAATGATTTTGTTATTCTAAAGTGAACGGTGCGACCAAAGTCCAACCCTCTCGGCAAAAGATTCGATGAAGAACAAAACATAAACAAGTTAACCTGAATAGGGATACGTTTCCGGTTTTCATTTACTATTCTCATGGCAACCATGATTGATTCAGTTCTCCAGCAGCAGATAACTGGACAATAGTAATGTTCTTTAGCAATATTGTGTGAATAAAGCATAAATAAACAAACTTTTAACTATATAGTATAAAATTAAAAATGTATTAATGTTAGTAATGTTACGGGAGAAAAGAGGAAATTAGACATATCTAATAAGCAATCTTTCTTTTTTTAAGCATGCATTTGGAATTATTATAAACAAAATTATTTCCCATGCACAGGGTCAAATTTGATAATATTTTAGGGTACCTTGATTCACAAAGGCTTTCAAATTCTTCCATTTGACCTTATTGTCCCTCAGTCAAGCCATCGCTGCTTGAACGGATTTTCAAAATCTGTAACATCTATCATGTTGAAAAAGCATGTTCAACAGCACCAACAATGCACTCTTGAGCATAAGAAATTATTACCTGCTCCTCAACAAAATAGGATTTGACCCATGGACGTCCTTTGGGTTGGGCAGAGTGGGCCTTTG